TACTGAGTTCATGGCAGTTCATAGCAGACTCACTGCCTGAACTGACAAATTTTAAGTTGATGTAACATTTCACAAGAGTTGCGCATGTACGCTCAAGTACCTGCCCTTGCCTGCTTGGTAATTCTCTATAAACATGGTGCTACATAACGGAGTAAGTCAAACCCAATGTACAAAACTACACATTTAAATGGAGTTTGCTGCAAAACTGAAGAAAACCAACCATTAACAGACTGTGCTAATAACCCAGCTAACAGCACAGCGAACTCTCGTACTGAGGAGAGGAGAATTAACCCATACTGAAGAGAGGAGATTCCTCTCGTACCGAGGACACGAGATTCCTCTTGTACTGAGGAGAGTAGATTCCTCCCGTACTGAGGAGAGGAGATTCCACCCATACCGAGGTAAAGTTAGGAAAGCAACTTTTAGGAAGGCCTCCAAATCTGTTAAGTGTCAAGTATATTTAGCATGAGTTAAGGTCAGATGTTCATTGTCTTGCTGTCTCTCTCTCTCTCCCCCACTGTACATATTCAATCACTGGCCATTTTTAAAGGTACATCTGAATTACAGACTGTTGTCTATCTGTTTCTCTGCATACTTTACATTAGCCACCATTCACGGACCCCCATGGGACCACCACAGAGCAGGTATTATTTGGGTGGTGGATCATTCTCAGCACACACCACCATGTCAGTGCCACTGCAGTGCTGCAAATGAAATAATAGTAATAATAATAGCTACTCTGTGGTGGTCCTGATCATTGATGAAGGAGGGTTAATAAATTAGGCAGATAACAGATTAACTACAATACATATGTGCACATACACCGATCAGGCATAACATTGTCCTTGTTTCTACGCTCATTGTCCATTTTATCAGCTCCACTTACTATATAGGTGCACTTTGTAGTTCTACAGTTACAGACTGCAGTCCATCTGTTTCTCTGCATACTTTGTTAGCCCCCTTTTACCCTGTTCTTCAGTGATCAGGACCCCCCACTACTCACAGGTACTATTTGGGTGGTGGATCATTCTCAGCACTGCAGTAACACTGATGTGGTGGTGGTGTGTTAGTGTGTGTTGCGCTGGTCTGAGTGGATCAGACACAGCAGTGCTGCTGGAGTTTTTAAACACTTCAGTGTCACTGCTGGACTGACAATAGTCCACCAACCAAAAATATCCAGCCAACAGCGTCCTGTGGGCAGCGTCCTGTGACCACTGATGAAGGACTAGAGGATGATTAGCTCATACTGTACAGCAAGAGATGAGCTATCGTCTCTGACTTTACATCTGTAGGATAGACCAACAACGTAGATGTGTCTAATAGAGTGGACAGTGAGTGGACACAGTGTTTAAAAACTCCAGCAGCACTGCTGTGTCTGATCCACTCAGACCAGCACAACACACACTAACACACCACCACCACATCAGTATTACTGCAGTGCTGAGAATGATCCACCACCCAAAGAGTACCTGCTCTGTGAGGGTCCATGGGGGTCCTGACCACTGAAGAACAGGGTAAAAGGGGGCTAACAAAGTATGCAGAGAAACAGATGGACTACAGTCTGTAATTGTAGAACTACAAAGTGCACCTATATAGTAAGTGGAGCTGATAAAATGGACAGTGAGCGTAGAAACAAGGAGGTGGTCATAATGTTATGCCTGATCGGTGTATACATTTAATGGACCTGATTAAATAGAAAAAGAGTGTAGATACAAGTATCTAAAAACTGGCCTGTGAATATATAATTAAAAATATATAATTGAGCACAATAGTGTACTGCACACACCACTGTTGTTTGTAATTATTTCATAAACACATTGTAACTGTTTATTTACCTTTGCACTTGCTACTTAACCCATTTAGTCTTGGGTGAAAGTTCTGTATATTTTGTTTAGACCGTTAAAGCAATAGTTTCGGAATGAATTCTGGTGTAATCAATTCATGAGTGCATACAGGTGAACACAGGTCAGCTTTAAGAACTGTTAACAAGACCATGAAACACTACCTAGTGGGTTAATATATGATAATGCAGATTATTTTCTGAATCCTTGTGTGGTGTTGATGTGTTTGTTCTTCAGTGGTCTGGTGGACCCACTGCATTACTGTTTTTTTAAATATTAACCATAACAATTTATGTAAAAATACCAGATGTTTAAAATATCACAAGTGTCCAGCATAGGGTTCTCCTTTAGCAGCTGTAGCCAGTCAGTAGCCTGTCCATGTTGTCCACCCTCACACACACACACACACACACCCAGACACACTAACAGCAGGCCATGTAGGAGGAGAACAGAGTGAAGGACACAGCACCTCCACACTTTTATTCACCGCGGGTTCACCCAACACCACATGTGTAATATAAATGTGTGGGGGGTGAACAGAGTGAAGACACTGAAAATGGGTTATTTTATATGTTCTTCACAGAAAATGAACAAAGGCCAAGGAAACTAAGGTTGTAATAATAATAAATCGCATAATTTTTTCTTTTGGTGAACATTGAAAATGGGTCCCACAGAGCCCAACACCACACAAGGGTTAATAGTGCACACACTCACTGTGTGTATCCTTGGTTGCTTTGACAGTGTTGTGTTGCTACTGCAGGATGCTATGGGCCTATCACAGTTCTTCTTATCTAAATTCCCCCTTGTGTAACAGACAGATTGTTCCCATGAGTGAAGCTGAATAGAACACACAGTGTGTAGATAGCTGGACTCGGTGGTGACTCACGCTGGACTGGACTATGGAGTTTAAAGAGACGGCTCTTAAACATGACGCTGTCTTTTATAAGTAACAGCCTTCCACTGTTTAAACATGCACTTCCCCCTCACTCAGACAGCGGTGCCGTCTGTCACACCACACACTTATATATGTCCTTATTTCCTCACTTCCTGTGTCTCACTTCCCGTGCTATTCTCATGACATGATATGTCTTTTTTAGCTGACCTTGTTAGCCTGTGTCATTTCCTTTACGTTAGGTGGTATATGGATTGTTCAATCGTGCTGATTCAAAATCAGAGTTAAAAACACATTTCCGACTTTCAACCCACTTGGACTTTAGACCAAGATCATTTCGTTTTGACTCTACACCTTAATTATGTTCATTTTATTAACATAAATGATTGAACATCCCATTCCGTCACTAACTAAGCAGTCATAACACTATAGAAACCAAATGTTTCAGTACTGACTGTTTCAATATTGACAATTTTAGCTAATGTTAGGCACAACTAAAAAACGCCAGCCAGTACATGATTAACAAGCACAGCACTGAACAGTTGTACACAGATAAAATCATAAAAATCATTATTAAAGCATAATAAAGTTAACTTGATTGCAGAAAATATGTGCTGCCCACCATGTGGCCATGAGGGACAGGGATGCAGTCTCACTTTCTGTTCTAAAATGCAGGGGTGTGGCTAAAATAAGGCTCCACCGACAGACTAAAACTCTGTGTTTCAGTAGTGACATGAAAACAATTTTATTAAAAATGTAAATTTGTGATAAATTTACATCTTTTAACTTCAAAAACAATGTTGAAAAAAATACAAAAAATGGTCAATATTATTTTCACAAAGGTTTGGGACCACCGCCTCCCAGTAGAAAGTATCCTACAAATGATGATTGTTTATATATTTAGCTTATTGTTATGCCAATTACTGCCTTGGGTTTAAGTAAATCATAACATAATTCTTGTAAATATCTAAGGTTTGTTTTTATTTATTTAGTGGGTAGCACTGTCGCTTCACATCAAGAAGAGCTCCCCGTGTTTTCCCCGTGTCTGTGTGTGTTTCCTCCCACAGTCCAAAGACATGCAGTCAGGCCAACTGGACACACTAAATTGCCCCTATGTGTGAATGTATATGTCTGTCTGCCCTGTGATGGACTGGCGGCCTGTCCATGGTGTTTCCTGCCTTGTGCCCAATAACCAGTGGGATAGGCTCCAGCTCCCCCCGCGACCCAGAAGGACAAGCATCTTAGAAAGTGTGTGTGGTACCACAGTTTGAATGAATGTGTTAGATTTCTCCATAAAAAACACACAGATACAGTTCTGTGCAAGAGCCAGGGACCACTCTTTCATTTATTTCCAGTCAAAACTTCAATTAAGTACAAGTTATTCATATATCAGCATCAGAATAAAGGAAGAAAACAAATTACACATAAACCTCAACAACTCAATATAATATTTTTATAGTATTTAGTGTCCTTCATATTTACCGCTGCCCAATTAGCTCATATTATACTGGTTTATGCACAGTGATAATGAACATATTAGGGGAAAAAAATAAAACATAAAAATAAAACATAAAATGTGCAAAAGTTATGGCATGTTTTTTTTGTTGTTGTTGGTTTTCCAGAAGGTTAAACTCAGCAAATAAATAGAAATTGTGCTTTAAAATTAACAGAAAACTGTGTGTTCTCTGTAGAGGATGTGTAACTTATTATCGCTTCAACAAAGCGCGTAATTTGACTGGGGGAGTTAAACTTTTGCATATGAGTGTACATACAGTGGTGTGTATCCGTAAAATAGAATATCCCAAAAAAGAGAACTAAAAGATCTAAAGGGGTGAAATAAAAATAATAATAATAATAATAATGATAACTACAAACAAGGTGTAAAATACATAAACCATGCAGTGCTGCTGTTCATAGGATTACATGTAGCAGCTCTACTCAAGATCTCCTCTTAATTTCATTAACCTCTCCTAGCAACAGCTCAGTCCTATTCCTTTGCGTCACTGTAGATGACCTTATATCATTTCCTCACTGTGAAAGTTAACTGAGTCAATTGAATTTAAAATGTTAATATAACAGAATGTAACACCCATATATATATATATATATATAAATATATATATATATATATATATATATATACGTTTTCTAAGAAGGATAATTATGAGGATCGGCAGGTCTGTGTATGTCTGTGTTTTAAGATGTTAAATATATATATATATATATATATGTATATATATATGTATATATATATTAGAGGGGCTGGACTGAGTGCTGCTCTATCTGTATGCGTTGTGATGGTTCTGGGTGTAGTCTGTGTTCTCCACAGGCGCTGACCGCAGTGGGCTGGGGCCACTGATCATGAGGCTGGGCAGGGAGCTGGACGGCTCCTCCTGAAAGCCATTGTGCTGGTCCCACACAGGAGCTCTGCGCGTCCCCTCCTCTCTCACAGGGCGGGGCAGCTCACGGTTCAGATCCATGGGGATCTCCTGTTCCTGCTGCTGCAGGGTCTTGATGAGCTCTCGGGACAGGTAATGAGGCTCAGCAGCCTGCTCGTCTAAATAAAGATCAGCAGAAGAACACTCAGAACACGCCCCTGACTGAAGAACATTTAACTACGGAACATCTAAAGGCCTGCGTGTCGTTCACACTTCAGTTCCTCATTCTCATGACTACAGTCTCATAGTAGTTACTGAGCAATTTATAACTGAGTAATAACCCTGGGACTAATAATAATAATGGTACAGTTTGTCTTGCAGTGTCGTTGCTTGTTAGCAATGTAGTTACAGCATGAAACTAAAGAAGCAAAATCCAGACATCAAACATAGCTTGGCTGCCCAACTACATTTTGGGGTAAGAGCAAACCTGTGTAAATGTGATATCCGGCTACACTTGAGATGGAACGATACCACTTTTCCTTGTCTGATCAGTATCGGTTGATTGTAATCCAGTATTTTTCCTTTAACAAATTATTATTTTAAATGATCTATTCTTAGTAGAAGCAACACATAACAGCATCACATTACACAGGGTGAATGTGTGCTATTTCAGGACAGATTTGTTACAGGACTGTATCAAGATTAATTTTTTTTTAACCTCTGATAACCAATCCAGCCTTTTCTGCTGATTTTCTCATATGGACATGCTCTTTCTAGAGTGAACCATCACTTTAAATTCACTTTCAGTACTTTTGGAGTACTTTAATATTAAAAAAGGAGTTGCTCCTAATACGTCTACTGTAGCTGAGGGGTAGCCGTAAGTATGTCCCATTTAGAGGTAAGAGAAGGCAGAGGAACAGTAACGCTCACCATCGAGGAGGATGAGGCGGTAGCGGTTGCGGCACTCCAGAGAAGTCTCCAGAATGTGGCTGAGGGTGGTGTAGAAGAGCAGGACCTGCTGCCTCCTGTGCGACGCACTAAACCCTGCAGAGCTGTCCTGGGACATCTGATACAGAGTCAGCAGCGGAGTGGCGTACTCAGCCACACAGTAATAAACCTGGGCACAGAAAGAGAGAAGGAAAGAAGAAGAGACAGAGGTGGAAGGTAAGATGATACAGGAAAAAACGGAGAGAGAGAGAGACGTGATGAGTTTGTGTAAGTGAGTTTCTCTAAAATGCTGTTTTTAGTTATATTATTCGATCATTTCAAACAGAAACTAAGACTTAAATCACTTAATGGACTCGAGTCATTAGCCCTTTGTGGCTATTTGTGTACTTATTTACATTATTTGTACTCTTTGTGTTTTATATTGTCTAGTTGTGCAGCACCAGGTCCACTAAGACGAATCCAGAGTACATCATAGTGCATTGGCCACTAAAGTGATTCTGACCTCAGTGTGATTTTGTTGCCCCCTATGGGTGACACTAAGTAAATGTTTATTAAGACAGTAAAAGGACTGTGTGGATGAGTTTTTTTTTGTTTGTTTTTTTTTAAGTGCTTTTATGATTTTTTTCCTGTTTTTCTCTAAATTGCTGTTCTTAATTACATTTCACACAAAATCTTTTTGTAATTGAAACTGAAACTAAAGGACACATCGCACTGAAAACCTAATTTTCCTCACATTTTTAAATAAAAGTTTTATGTAGTGTAAAGTTTGAGTGCATTTACATGCACTCAATAGTCCGATCAAAATCAGATTTCTGCAGTTATCCGATTATTCAAGTGATCATGTGAACAGCATACTCCGATTTCTTAGATCAGAGAAAGGTCTAGAAATCTGATTAAGAAATCTGATAAAGAGAGCTTGATTTTAGCTCAGTAATCAGATTTCTCAGTGCATGTGAACTCTTACTCTGATTTCTTTCAGCTTTCTCAGTCTGCCTATGTGTGAAAACAGACAGCAATACCGGAAATAAGCGAGCAGCGATACTGCGAGATGCAGCAAAACACTTTTGGGGCGATGCTGAAAACAACTACATGCTTGACGAAAAGGTTTTAAATATTCTGCATCTTCTAGATGATGTATGTTCATATTTTCATGTAAAAGGGGCACAGTGCAGCGTGAAATTTGAGTTTTAAATTACGTTTGTGTCACGTCTTCTTCTGTGAGTTTATTGGCTGGTCGCAAAATCTGATTACTGTCTGACTCATGTAGACCTGGAGTTACACGTTATCTGATTACTCAAGTGCATGTAAACGTGTTGATTGGATTACTGACAAAGTCTGATTTTCTGCAGTTATCAGATTATTAAGTGCATGTAAACGCAAAGTTTGAAAACATACAATTCAATTTCCCCTTCAAAACATTTTACATATGAAAACTCAGCTGCCCAGTTTGATTCCATTGCTTTTGTGATGTCAACTCATTTACAAATGTTGGCTTGTTATTAATTAGGAGTGTTTCAGCCTCGACTGCCTTTTGACTGAGTAACAATTTAAAACTAAGCCTTAATGAAATATAAAACTAAGCCTTAAAAATACAAAATATTGGTCTGTTTTTGGTATATAAAACCACACAAACATCACGTCAGTGGAAAAAAATTGAAAATCAATCAAATTAAACTGAAATAAAATAAGCTGAACTGAACTAAATCTAAGTGAATGTAATTGAATTGAGTCAAACTGACCTAAACTGAATTTAGTTTAAGTTCATTTTTACTCACTTTTTAGTTTGAAGTCAACTCAATTCAGATCAGTTCAATTCAGTTACACTTGTTGAACTGAAATGAATTTATTTAAATTGGACAGAACAGAAACAAATTGAATTAAACTAAAATGGATTGAATTGTATTGAGACCAAATAGAGGGCAGAGTGTCTGTTTCCACTTTATCCACGAGACGGTGCTGTTTAGCTTTAATTAAACTTCAGTTGAATTGCACTGAATTGAATTTATTTGAATTGAACAGAACAGAACAGCACCAAACTTAACTGAACTGAAATGGATTGAATTGAGACCAGAAGGCAGAGTGTCCATGCACACTTTATCCACGAGGTGGTGCTGTTTCTCTAGTTACCATGTTTGAACACATTAATGCCACTTTTCTTACACAAAGGTGGTATTTCTGGTTAAGTCCTGTAAGGCCCCCTGCAGACTTTAGAGTTTTAGCTGATTCAGTCTATTAAATATCAAGTGCTATATGAGTTAAAATGGTTAGAGCAGTGGAAAAAGTGACCTGTGTTCAGTTAAAAAGAGTTTAAAACTATATCTTTAGAATCCAAAACTCGCAGCATCTCCTCCCCCAAACCATCAGAATGGTCACCAAACAGTGTGACCAGAGCTGAGTGTCCTGTACAGAGTGCAGGCCTTCAGTCCTCACCTCTTTGTTCTGGTCTGTGATTTTGTAGATGCTGTGTTTGTAGACCCTCCCTCTGACTCCAGCCCGGTCCAGTTGAAGCTCGGGCAGGTTGTTGTGGAAGAGCACATTGCGGTCCACCTCCTCCAGCCTGGTCGCAGCTGCTGCGCTCAGGGGCAGCAGGATGTGGAGGCGGACGGAGCTCAGCACCTCTCCAGTCTTGCTGTAGTGCTTCCTCACCTGCTCCTCCAGCTCTACGGACACGTCAGTGCCGAAGTTCAGACCATTTAGTGTAAAATTTCAAACACAAAATGCCACATTATGATGTGATGCTTTGTATATGTGGTCTGTACGTTATAACAGGCTGACTCTGGACATGATCTGGAGAGTATTTAGCCAATAAAGTGATTGTGATTCTGATTTAAGTTTGACGTTGCTGCCCCCTGTGGGTGTGGAAGTGTGTGTGAAGTACCTGGCAGCACAAGCTTCAGGTAGCCCACATAGAAAGACCACGCCAGACCATGAGCTACGTTCATCTTCCTGCTCTCACAAACCTCCGAAATCTCGACCGGCGCAGGACCCTGAGAGGATAAAATAGGACAGAGAAAGAGAGGGAAAGAAGGGAAGGAAAGAGTGGAAGAAGGGAAAGAGAGAGAGCGAGAGAGCAAGGTAAGAAAACAAGTGAGAGAAAGAGAAGAGAAAGAGAGATAAGAGAAAGTAAGAGAGAGAAACGAGAGAATCAGAGAGGAAAGAAAAGGAGAGATAGAAAGGAAAAGAAGAAAGAGTGGAAAGAGAAATAGAGCAAGAAGAGAATGCAAGAGAGAGAGAATGAGATAAGAGAAAGTAAAAGAGATAAAAGAAAATAAGAGAGAAACAGAAATAGGGGAAAGAAAGAGAATGAGAAAGAGTGGGAGAAAAGAGTGGTGGAGGGTTTATTTGCGGATTATCGTGTGAACAAACGCAGGAGCTCACTGAACTTGGAGTCTCTATCAGGAGCTCATGTGACAGTGAACTGGCACACACCGTCAGCTCAGGGTGAGCGATATGAAAAAATCAGACTTAGATCACAATATTTTACTATCTGGACAATAACATGATGACACCCCAACAACAACAACAACAACAACAACAACAATGTAAACATTTTATGTGTACAACACATAACACAACATTGAAACAGGAGGCCTCCAACACAGTAATCGGTACCAGCACTTTAAATGGCTGAGTAAATGTTTAAACTGTGTATGTTTCTTAGTGAATTCATAAGCTTTATTTAACCTGTTCAAGTGTCATTTGAGATTTACTGTTTTTATCACAGTACAGTAAAATGCATATTATATTACATATCATATATCATATATTATATCATATCATATACCATATCATATATCATGTCATATACCATATTATATATCATATCATATATCATATAATATACCATGTCATATATCATATCATATACCATATCATATATCATATCATATACCATATCACATCGCTGCTGTCGGCAGAAAACCTCGTATCTCTGTTTTGGTTATTTTTCAGTTTTTGAAAATACCTGTTGTCCTTTATATTATGTGTAAATTTCATAAAGAACGGACCAAAAAATGACTCAAAGTGACTGAATTTAAAAAAAAATCCAAAAAAGAAAGAGAGAGGACGGAGAGAGAGAGGGAGAGAGAGAGAGAAAGAGAGAGAAGAAAAGAGAGAAAGGGGGAAAAAGAGAGCGAGAGCAAAAAGAGATAGAGAAACAGAGAAGAGAAAGAGTAGAGAAAAAAGAGCGGGATAAGAGAGTAAGAGAGAGAAAAAGAAGAGAAAGAGAGAAAGAGAATGGGAAAGAAGAAAGAGAGGAAGTGTGTGTGAGAAAGAGAGAGAGGGAGAGAGAGAGAGAGAGTGAGGGAGAGAGAGAGGAGGAAAAAGAGAAAGGGGGAAAGAAAAAGCGAGAGCAAAAAGAGAGAAAGAAAGAAAAGAAAAAGGGAAAGGGGAAGAAAGGAAAGGAAGAGAGGGAGAGAAAGAAAGGGAAAGAAGAAAGTGGGAAAAGAGAGAGAGAAGCGAAAGAGAAAAAAGAGAGCAGGATAAGAGAAAGTAAGAGAGAAAAGAAAGAGGGGAGAGAGAAAGAGAGAATGGGAAAGAAGAAAGAGTGGAAAGAGAGAGAGAGAGAGAGAGAGAGAGAGAGAGAGAGAGATGTGAAAAAGAGAGAAAGGAGAAAGAAAGAGGGAAAAAGGAAAGAGAGAGAGAGAGAAGAGAATGATTTGAAAAGGCCTGTTACCCTTTTTATTGTGTGTAAATTTCATGATGAATGGACCAAAAGAAAATGACTTGGTAAAAATTCTGGTTCCATTGACTTTCATAAAAGTAAAGTTCTTCCTTCTCCTGTAAAGTTTCCATTTTGGAGATATGAGGTTTTGTTCCGACAGCAGTGCTATTATGTCCCACCAGTACTGATTTACTGTAAGTGCAGTAAAACAGTCATCGTCACAGTGTCTGATCTAACTTCACACAGCCTGTTCTCATTAAGGAGTCCTGCAGAACAGGGCCAGTGATGAGACTCAAAAGGGGCTTCCCCAACACAAATAGACGGGGGGTCATGCTTCATTCCAGGGTGGGCCTGGCCACCCGTGGCCACCCCTCGGCTACACCTCTGATCTTGACTTAAGATAATTTCACTTGTCACGATACCATTTTTGTTCATGATACCAAAAGCAGCTTAGCTCAGGAAAATCAATTCCTTCAGGAAAAATACATTTTAGAAAGCCTCATGTAATCCAGAGTCGTTTTGTAAGTTTTCCCTCTTTTATAATTAATAGTGTGGTCGTATAAAACATTTCACCACTTACAAATAGCTACACTCAAAAATGGCATCTTGTCCAACAAACAGAAACTGAAAGTAAAAACAACTGCAGCAACAAAAATCAATAAAATCGTCTAAATATATTGGCAGATGATTTCGCTTGTTTCAAGTATGTTTCTTAAAACAAGCAAATGTCTAGAAAGTCTTATAATAAACTAAGATAAATCTCAACATGAGAAACATCAGAGATCTTGACCAGGAGTGTAGCTAGAACCTTTAGAATGGGATGGTCAGGTAAGGCCAAGAGATTTTATTGGAGTGGCACAGCTTAGGTTGCATTCACTATAGGTAATACATGAGTCTAATGATTAGAAAGCTCAGTACTGTGTAAAGGAAGCTACATACATGTATTCTACTGTAAAAAGTAATTAATGTAATAAATGATTATATCTGATTATATCTGACTAACTTTTGATCGTTAACCCCTTAAATGGCCGGGGTCCACCGGGGGGCCCAAAGTCTTATTACACCTAAGAATAGCTCTGCCCGTTTGCATTACAGTTACTGAATATTAAGCCTTAGTATGTAATAAGCCTGCACTGTAAAATGTAACAATTGCACGAACTTAATTTTTTTAATTGTTGTACTTTACTCATCTGAGGTAACTTTATTCACGTGTTATGTGCACTATTTTTATTTAAGTTGACTTTACAGGTGGGTACAGACAGGGTTGGGTTTACATTCTCATGCTTTTCATGTAACTTTTGACAACTTTGGACATTCAAATGGGATCTTTGAGTTGAATCAACCTCTTGCAGTTTAGTTTGTTAAGACTCCTCAGCTCTACTTGATGAAAGCTTGGTCAGTGCAACCTTGAGTAAAACTTGCATCATTCCTATTGGCTCTTGCTGGCAGGCATATTGAGCGTGTTTTTCCACATTGTTTAACCGACCATCTCTGTGTAGTCGTACTCCCCAGCATACCTTCCCTTGGGCGCTTACTTGTTTTCTCCGTGACCCCACCTGCTGAGTGTGGTTCTGAACACTTCAGACCTCTTCTGCAGTCTGGGCTGAACTGTCAGTATTGAGCGAGATGGTCCAGAGCAGAACTGAGTTAAACTGTTTAAGGCATACTTGTCAAAAATGTTCTGCTATTCAGTATAAATTTGTTCAAATTAAAGCCTAGTTTAGCTTTTAATGGAAGAAACTGATTTAGCTGAACTTGAATGGCTAGAGTTGTGTAAAGGCAGTAAATATAAGTTAGAATGACTTAATTGTATTGAGTTAGTACCATTATTACATAAGTCCAAAAGACTCAATCATTTTGAGATCAAAAGGAGTGATTTACTCAATAGGGAATTACTCATGGTCAAATGCTTTGAGTAACCTAAACTTAAATGGTTTAAGGCAATTGGTTTCCTTAAACCATTTGAGTTTGCCTAACTCATCAGATTTGAGTTACTTACACTTACACACAAGTTTACTGAACTCATTAGGTTTTACAGGGTGGGATTTTAAATGGTTTACTCATCTTTCTATTGAACAGCCTATGTCATAATGTACCTCTCAGAGCAGCATTTGTTTATGGACCTGTTTATGAAGTAAATGAACCTTTCATAGAAAGATACACTAATCAATAAATACAGCATTAGACTCTCATAACTGATTAGTAACTAGTCTGATGGCAGATTTCAACGAAAAAGTGGGATTAATGCTTTATTAATGACGGCTGACTGATGGCTGTCTCACTTTCCATAACTGGGGTGGGCCAGACGGGGGGTCATGCTTCATTCCAGGGTGGGCCTGGCCACCCGTGGCCACCCCTCGGCTACGCCTCTGATCTTGACTTAAGATAATTTCAGTTGTCACGATACCATTTTTTTGCAGTAAATCCAACATTTACAGTTGCTGTTGTTGGTTTTGCTTTCAGTTTCTGTTTATTGGTATCAGTTTTAGATTCTAGAAAACTGTCTGGGAAAACAGCCCACGTAGGTGAGTTTCGGCACAGTTGTCCTATCCATGCTCCGCCCACAAATGCATTCAGTCAGTCTACAATTAGAAAGCAAAGACTACAGAATTTGCCTGCACGCTAACATTAGACTAAAATAAACTATGAGTTTTTCTATACAATCCCTCATTATTTTAAATGAAGTTTTTGACAATGTTCTGTAAAGCTTGTTTAACCTATCAACAGTTGCCATGACAGAATGTGCCTGTGGGCGGAGCATAGACAGGTCGGTTCTTGACAATGAGTGTTTGTATGCTTTGTATGTTGTTCATGCGCTGCAGTGTTTGACAGACAGACGTCATTACCAGCACTCCGAGGGTCTTGAGCAGCAGGTATAAAGCACTGGTTAGGACCACCAAAGTCCACTGTTTAGGTGTGTATGTGTCGCCTCCCACCACCAGCAACAAAAATACCACACACAGCCCAGCTAGAGTTGCAGTGCTGAAACAGGCCCGGAGCATCTGCTTAACATTCCCACCATACCTGACAATGAGAAACAATAGACATGTTTATGATCACAGACACACACACACACACACACACACACACTGAGGTCTGTCTCACCTCTGTTGTGAATGGAACACCCATTCCTCTATAAGCAGACACAGGCAGTGCAGTATACGGCCCAGGATCAGAGAGAACGCGATGAGTCCAGAAGCTTCTCTGATGAGGCTGGAGTCCAGCAGGCTGACCAACACCAACGACAAGAGGCCCAACACCACCGCACACACGGCCGGAGCCCAGCCCCGGGGCCGAGGAACCACACACTCCTCTCCCATCAGCACCTCTGTCTGCACACAATGCACACTCATCACTTACAGGAAGAGTTCAGGGAAAAGGTCAAATGATCACAGTTCTCCCCCGAACGCCAAATGATGGGAGTGTCCAGAGGTCGCTTCTTTAGTTTTACCTAATTACCATTACATTAACTACATGCCTAAATATCACACATTTGCTTGCAACTATGTTGAGTTGTTAAGTCATTTCAAATAGACTTGCTTAGCTAGTTTGTAATACTGTATGACAAACTGTTTTCTATAAAAACGGACAAACATACAGACAATATTTAGGTTTGTACTACCATTTTTAGCTATATCTGACACTTTTGTTCATTTTTAATGATAAGCGTAGGCCTATGCCAGCAGCCCAGGGTAGGCAGCATATGTAACGCATGGGGTGTCAAAGCCACAGCTACACAGGCAAAAAGTTGCATTTATATATTTAAAATTCAGCCTACAATCTCAACTGTGAATCTGTGGAGTTCTGTGTCAAGTAAAAGTTGATTGGCTCTCTGGTAGTGTTGGGAGCAGGACCCACACAACACTCGTTACAAACATTGATAACATAAGTCTTCAAAATACAACCCTATTTCCAAAAAAGTTGGAACGCTGTGCAAAATGTAAATAAAAACAAAATGCAAGGATGTGCAAATCATTTAAACCCTATATTTCACGAAAAATAGGATGGGTGGCAGCACATGTTGCCAAAACATGTATTTATCATTCAGCATTAATGGTGCCTTCACAGATGAGCACATCACCCATACCATGTGCACTAATGATCCCCTATACCATCATGAATACTGGCTTTTGAACTGTGCACTTGTAACAAGCTGAGTGGTCTTTAGACCGGAGGACACAGTGTCCATGATTTCCAAGAAGAATTTCAAATGTTGATTCATCAGACCACAGAACACTTTTCCACTTCCCCTCAGTCCATTTGAAATGAGCTCGGCCCCAGAGAAGGTGGGAGCATAGTGGGTAACACCTACACTGGAGTTTAGGGTTCAGATTCCTGGTGCACAGGCCACATTTTTGAGCCCCCTCATTATAAACAGTAATGGTGCATTCAAATGTGAAAAGTGTGTTCTCTGTAGACGAAGTGTTGACCTCCTTAACTCAAACTTTTGCATAGGAGTGTAAAAACCCTATAAATGCAGCAGGCTAATTGACGTCGTCGTCTCACACAGCAGCGTGCCACAACCTGTTCTGCAGGTGTGCCTTCAGCTTACATATTGCTTAACGTCCCGGATGGTGTCATACGCATGAATACTGCAGGTATGATTTCCAAGAATCTGCGAGCTTGAAGGGAATTGGCCACAAAGTTCAAATTACACAAGAACCATGTAGAGCCAATCGCTGGACGATATCTGCTGAGACAGCACATGAGAGCATTTAGCATTGAAACGTCTTATTAAATGTTAGTACTGATTATATCAAGTCAGTAGTTTTCAGCAGGATTGAAATGAAGAGATAGCATCAGGTTGATACCCAGTATCAATTATTTCCATTTACTGTAAAACTGAATCTGCTGATCTGTCCATGCTCTGGTTGTTTTGGGCTTGGCTTTGTTTATGTTGGATGTTGAACATTCTGTTCTAATAACACTGTTTTTTTAAAAGGGTGTATGTTATATAAGTTTTTAAAGGGCTCATACAAGAAAAAAAGCTTTTTTTTCAAACTAAAATAATTTAGAATAATTTAATTTCAGTTTAATAATAACAATACTTTTGCTGGAGTATATTTCTAGACTACTGTTCCCATTGCTGATAATGATCAAAGGGTCCACTTCAAAACATGAAGTTCACTCCCCATCAAGGTACAAAAGTGGTTTTAAGGTCCAGTTGTGAACCTTAAATCATTTTTTCCAGCTGAAAAGTACAGATTTGTTTATTTTCATAGTCGAATGTTTTAAAATAGAACAATAAAATAAAAACCCTGGAGACGAGACGGGGTGTGTGGAGTCAGTACAACTCAGAAAATGTTATGATACAGTTATGTTCCCTGACTAAAGATACTGAGATGTACCCTTTAGGGAACCACCTCAGTGACAAGAGGGACACTGCCCCGGTGACAGTTTCAGTCCTTTTTTTTTCAACAGTGTAGAATGAAACAGACTATTTTTGTTACTGTGCGTTTAAGACTGATCTATGCAAATGAGCTCTGTTCTGATTGGCTATCCTGTATTGTTCCTCATTCAAGAAGCATTCCAGCCTGAAACACTCCTTATAACTTGAATGGGCGGAGCTAAACTGCTGTAGACCGAATATGTGAGTACATGTAAATGACTTGTTAATTCATTTAATTAATTCAAAACAGGCTATTTTTGATGTTTAGTTTCCATATATGGCCCGTATGGATTGGGGAGTGAACAATATGTTTTGAATATTTTTTTACTTATCAATTAAAAAGAATACATTTTTATTCCAAGTAACCAAAAGTTGCCACCACTTGTACATCTTCACCATCGGTGGTAGAGTCGTAACCTTTCTTTTCTTTACAGTGAACTGAAGTCCCACCCTCTCATCTTTCTTACAGTTTTTTTATTAAAAATAATAAATTATTTTTTTATTAAAAATAACCAAGTTGCCACTTACAGGTGTGGGATACCCATGGTTTCGTTACCAGTCAGTGTACAATGAAAGGCTTTAAAAAGCCCCTGGATCTCTTACAGGAACTGTGCTATGGGTGGCTGTGGAGATAAACTTACACTTCCCCAGCATCCACCCCTGTGTTTCTTTTTAAGAGCTTGGCTTGAAGGAAACAGAGTGAAACCTGTGACCTTTTCTGTCTAAATTATAACAGCACAATAGAAGTCAGACTACTTTGTTTTTATCTTATGTAATGCGTTGTAAACACTTTTAGTGGGTTAAAAGAATGACTCAGTGAAAGATGAGATGTACAGAATTTTCCACTCAGCCCAGTCAGAGCTGATCAGCAGTGGTGTTTGGTATCCAAATTTTGCTTTTTTAATTTAGCACTGGAGCTACAAGGCTAACGTTGCTAATAAACACTATCCCCCCAGCAGACCCCCAGTCTGGGATGCTTAATACCTGTATCACAATCTATGAAAATGATAGTAAACCTTACTTGACATCTGCTTCTGTATGATTGGTTTGTGGACTTAAGTTAAACCAATCATGTCGCTCTTGCTTGGCCAAAAATATGTTTGGTGGTCCAGAATCTGAGCGCCTGTTAAAAGTCAGCTACACGGTGAGGTTCATCATTTTTAGAACTCACAGTAAGTTGTACTGTGTCCTAAATGACATCGCCAAGCCTGTGTAGCCTTAACAAAGACCAGGCACCGATTTCATGCATTTCAAAATCAAAATGAGCTGCTTTTACATGAAGCTTTGGAGCTGCTAAATAACCTCCCTCTCAGCAGACGTAAGTGTTGGGAAAACCGATGGAAACCTCATATATGCGACAACAAAGGCCAAAAACATGACCTGATTCATTTCGGTTAAGACAACCAAGCTAAAAACACTAAATGCTGCGTTCTGTATTTTAACTTCCAGCTTTAATTATGAGCCCAGTTTTAACTCCAACATGAAGCTGACATTCATAGCTCCGGTTCAGTGAGATACAGCAGCTGCCAAAAGGTCTAAATCCCCTATGTCAATGAGCCAGATCAGGCCGGCAGCACAGTCCTATCCAAGCTGAAAATTGTTTTAATTTTCTGTTAATATTAGCCCATTTCACAGTGCGCTGCACGACAATCCCCAGCATGCACTGCAACATAATATGCGCTCCCACATCCCTCCCCAACAACAATCTATGCGACGTTGGTCACACCTCAATTCTATCACACAAGTCAAATCACTAAACACACTAGCTGCATTTCAGCTGCAGTTCAACCAATACAAACATTTAGCCCATAACTATATAGACAAAAGTATTGGGACAGACCCCTAAATCACTGAATTCAGGTGTTTCATTCAGTCTCATTGCCACAGGTGTATAAAATCAAGCACCTAGCCCTGCAGTCTGACCTTACAAACATCTGTGAAAGAATGGGTCGTTCTAAAGAGCTCACTGAATTTGAGTGAAGTACTGTCAGTTCGCAAATTTTCTAAGCTCCTAGATATTCCATGATCAACTGTGAGTGGTATTGTTGAAAACTGGAAGTGTTTAAGAACCACAGCAACTCAGCTACGAAATGGTAGACGACATAAAGTTACAGTCGCAGAGTGCTAAAAGTCACCAACGCTCTGCTGACTCAGTAACTGCAGAGATTCACCTCCTCTGGCAACAACAGCACATAAATTGTGCACCTGGAGCTTCAAGGCATGGGTTTCCATGGCAGAGAGGCTGCGTGTAAGCCTAACATCTCCAAGCACAATGCCCAGAGTCAGATGGAGTGGTAAGGCACTGGACTCTGGAGCAGTGTAAACACATTCTGTGGAGTGACGAATCACGCTTCTCTATCTGGCAGTCTGATGGACGAGTCTGGGTTTGGTGAATGCCAGGAGAACATTACCTGCCTGACTGCACTGTGCCAGCTGTAGTTTGGTGGAGGAGGGATAATGCTATGGGGGTGTTTTTCATGAGTTTCTAGAACCCTTAGTTCCAGTGAAGGGAAATGTTAATGCTTCAGTACAACAAGACATTTTGGACAATTATATGGTTCCAGCTTTGTGGGAACAGTTTGGGGAAGAACCTTTCCTGTTCCAGCATGACTGAGCCCCAGTGCACAAAGCAGGGTCCATAAAGGCTGGGTGAGTTTGGTGTGGAAGAACTTGACTGGCCCTCACAGAGCCCTGACCTCAAACCCATCAAACACCTTTAGGATGAACTAGAACGGAGATTGTGAGCCAGACCCTCTTGCCCAGCATCACTGTCTGACCTCACAAACGCTCTTCTAGATGAATGGGCAAAACTTCCCACAGACACACTCACACATTAGACATTAGTTGATTGTAACTAGTTAGGACATGGTTTGAGGATTTGTAGTGTAAATAAATTTAGTTAAAGTACAGTCGGAAACCAACTGTTAACTAAGCACTCAGTAAAGACTTTACATACAAACTTTATTACAAACTTAAACAACACTGGTGCACGCCAGTGCTGGAGAGATTTTGAAGATGTAATAACAGAAAAAAATAGGTGACTATTGGCTTCTAGTGTTTATTTGCAACATAGTTCTTGTTTAAAACTAAAGCAAAATTTGGGTGACAGGCATTACTTCTGATGTAAGTGGAAAATTGTGTACATTTGATTTTTCTTCTACCAAACCATTCCTTTAAGAAGTCAGGTGTTTGAACCCCCCTGATCTATTCTATGTCCTGCACAAAACAGCACTTACAGGCCATATCATGGAAAAAAACTAATTTCCAAATAAAGTGTTTGATTTTGTATGTAAATAACGTTAAATTTGAATACCTGAGGTCATTTACATACATACATACATATATATATATATATATATACAGGGATGTCTTAAAGAGAAAGTAACAAAAACTGCCTGTTTAGTTCTAAAATTCTAAAAGAAAACGGTCACTTAAAAATGGATTACGGCTGTTTTTGGTATATAAAGCCACACAAATGGACCTTGAGGATAAAAAAATCACAAGGAAAATGTAGGATATGGACCCTTGATTGATTTGGAAAACACAGCTAAATTACTAATGTCCCAGGCTATACAGACAAGGTAACATCTACCAAAGGCAAAAAAACACTTCTAGTATTACTGCAGTGCTGCTCTAACACTACTGATTTACTGGGGGCATTTTGTCAAGACCTAAAAATAACATGCAGTACTAACTGAGAGACAACACAATGAAGAGAAATGGAGAGAGTGTAGAAACTCACCTCTGATCAGAGCGAAACAGCTGACAGTGCAGTCCTGCCTGTGTGGAACGTCTATAGAGTCAAGGAACAGGAGTTTACACCAGGCCACGTATCCTCTTTGTTTCTTTTGTTATATTATTTTCTCGCTATTTCTCTCTCTCTCTCTCTCTCTCTGCCTCTTTGTCTTCCTTTCTCTCGTTCTCTCATTGTGCCCCCACCCTTTCCACTCCCTCTTACACACACACACACACACACACACATGCGCTTCTTTCATTTTGCTGAGGTGACTTTTCAGTTTCACTTTCACACGCAAGATTCTCATGACACACAATTTCCTAGATTCGCCAAATTCCAAGTAAAACTGAGTTTAACAGAAGTCTGGCTCAGTGTCTAAACAGGAATCTGTCCTCAAATAGCCCCTCAAGGTCAAACACACCGCTGAATATCTGAAGACACTGAAGTCCCCAAACTTTTGACTAATACTGCATTTCTGACTAAGAATGGCTGCCAGTGAATAAATAATAGCTAGACAAAAACCCAGACATGCGTACAGTGAATAAAACCACAACAGAACAGAGGCTTTATTAGTAATCGTCACCAAGTACCACACTCAGGCCTGAGATGCCTCCAAAGGGGAGATCCCTCATATGACCTTCATAAAAGGAGGGAAAACTTGGACAGTATCACTTCTCGGGGCAGGGAAGTCCCTATTATGACCGGTACAAAGTGCAGGAAAGTGCATTTTAAACTGATTGGACAGATTCACTTCTTGTTTTTCAATTAAAAAAAAAACAACCTTCTGTTTATGAAACATCTCAACTCAACCTGATCACAAAACACATAACAAAAGGCTCATGAACTCATGAACACAGTGATTGGACCATCCTCATCCACAGAATTTGGTAAGCAGGCAAATGCCCTGTTAATGTGGAATAACTGTCAGTTAAAAATACATCTTAAACCTTTTATATAATTTCTAGTCAACGTCTAAAGCTGAAAGAGGAGAGCCATATTTTTTTCTTATTTCTACCTTGTTTTATTTATTTATTTGTTTGTTCGTAATGTTCATTTATTTCCATTTTACTGTATGTTAATATTTTGTTGTATGTCTTAAAGGCCCCCACTGCAAATGAAACCTTGAACTCAGTGGGCTTTTCTGTGCTGACCAACAGGGACATGACACCCATTCAAGAAAATACAGGTGTTACTGTGTTGTCAGTTCCTTTTATCTGTGGCTTTATTATCTGTGTTTTTCTTTTTGGGTGAAGCAGACAAGATAAAACTCTTTTTCAAGAAAAGTGGCAGCAGGGTAAAAGCACAAGTGAGTGAATATGTGAGTGCAATTTTCAACCATAACAGCATAAATACATGACATAAAAAATCTCAAATATACAGTATTTACTGTAATATAAAGTGGGATATTACTGAAGAACAAAAACTGATTTAGTGGAGTTTTAAAATAATCCCCCCAATGTCTTATGTGTGTTATTGAGTCATTATTTTCTATTTTTCTGTGTCCCCCACTCTAATTGTGCCCCCCTAGAATACTGGCTTCACGCCCCTGCTGACCAATCAGATGAAAAGGAAGGCAGGTTTTCAGTGACTGTTGCTTTTTCTAGCAGCACCACATTTACTAGTTAAAAAGCTTTCTTACAGCTTACTTGTTCAGGTCACTGAAAGTTATGACTGTGCTGTTGCTTAGCAACAGAGAGAGGTGAAAAAACGTCTTAACTACATCTAAAACATCTAACATCTAAACTAAAGGATCTCTCAAATCTCGAATTACTTGGGGGGCACTAGCCAGGTGGTCTTCTCCAAGGGGGGCTGCTTCAAAGAAAGAGGTCCCATTTCTTTTTTAAGTGTAAACTGTAACTACACTAAGGTTTTTATCTAAAGTTTTATAAAACATTGTAAACATAATTATGGTAAAAAGTGCCCAATAATTTTTTTTTTTTCCAAACATTTTCACAACATAACGTTTACACTCATAAACACATCTTATTAAACCTTTATTAACAATTCTTCTGTTTTTCTGACAGTTCCATTATGTTTTTTTGTTTATTCTGACACACTGTATCTACCACTGTGTCACAAATAAATCCCCAAAGGCAGATTTAACTCACTATCAGTCGATGTTAGAGTAGCTAGGTTAGTTACAGCTAAATTACAGTCATGCCTGCTCCTGCAGCATTCTCACTGGGTCAGATTTTCATTGGAATGATTCCTCTTGCATGCATTTATTTTTGCTTTTTTGCATTCTCATCAGTCTGTGATTTGGCCATATGAAGATGTTTGAGACCCCTGCTCTACATGGTTTGGAGGTTTCAGAGGTCAGAGGTCCTCAGGCACATGATGAGCTGTAGGAACATGTCCTTTATCTGTAGGAGTGTTTGTTAGTGAAGAACAGACTAGGCTGTATTTGTGTATGTCGTGTTGTTCACCCTGTACTGATTCACATCTTCTTACCTCTCTGCCTTTTACTGCAAGGTGTGTCCCGCTGCATCGTTTCTCTGGAACTTTCAGGTGTCCTGGACTGAGGAGATCCATCCTGGAATCTGTTAGCTTTACAGACGTTATGCTTTATTAACTGAAGAGGTGGGGTTTAAGTATCCATGTTTACATGAATACATTTTGTTTTTTAACAGACTGTTTACTAAAGGAATAATCTACCCAAGGCTGTGCAGCCCAGTGATTCTACCACCCGTTAAGGGGACTTGTTGGGCACAACACGAAAGTCCCTTAATCATGTGAAAATCACTGTAACTCACAACCTTGAAGGGAAACTAAATACAAGCAGAGTTCATGCGATGCGTGCAGTCATGTGTCTGCATATCAGATTCTACAACTCCTCTTTAGAATGCTCTCTGTTTTCATATATCTAAAAAAATCACTGTAATCTGTAGCGGTGCCAGGACGGCTGTTTTGGATGTTAATGACAAATTTGTTGACTGAATCTTTCACACTTGCGAAGACTACAAAAAACAAAGCATAATCCAGGACTGAAGCATTTGCTAAATGTCATTTAGAACACAAAACTCAGCTACTTGACCAGAATGAACGAAACTTGGGGGGTGATTAAAAAAAATCTAAACTATCTCTTTGTTTGCACACAGGAGCAATAATGACCAACACCGCTTCAATATGCTGGTGATTTCTGCCATTTATGCCTTCAGTGTTAATGAGCAGGTTAATGAAGCTGCTATAATGCTGTGTTGTGCTTGGCTATGTGCTTAAAACAAGCAATGGTCTTCCCCACGTTTATCTCTAAAATGCTGACAGTATTTCTGCTGTTGCAGCACTCGGTAAACTCATTTTTGTACCAGAGTGATGAAATTTAATGCCTTGATTCAGAAGGAGTGTTTGGAGGAGGAAGTGATGCTTAGGATGCCTCAGAAATAGTCATAGTTATTGGTCAAACTGGTGATATTATTAGTTGATGTCAGAAAATGGAACTGTGAATATGTCATATATTTAGCCGGAGCATATTTCTTCCTATTTTGGCTGTTGATTCATAAGATTTTAATGTTTAAAATTTACTGTAATGTAATGCAACCTGATTTTGGATAATTTTTGGAATATTTGTCTTTTTAAAGTCATATAATTACATAAAAAACAAGCGGAAAACTATTTCAACATGCAAACAGGAAAAGCACAGCACTGCATAAGGGGATATATTACAGGTGACTAATCATTGTGCTCTTTGTTTAAAAATGAAGCATCTTTGTTTAAAAATTTCATGAAATATTTTGTTTTGAGTCGATTTAGTATTTGAATGAGATACGTGTAGTCTGGACTAAATATATTAAATTGTGAATTATCTTAAACTATTATTATCAGGTGTGTGTTATATTAAAGCTCTCCACAAAGGGCAGCTGTTGGAACTAAACTAGGTTTTGTGTGTCATTGAAACAGAGGAAACAGGCCTCTTCAGTAATGGAAGGCTTTAAGCTTTAAGTTGCAACATTTACTGAAGGGTTTACTGTAAGGCTCTATGATATAAATAAAAGAATATGCTATTTAAATGTCTTATAAAACTAGCGTAGAAAAGTGAAAGCACGCCATATGCTTGATGCTAACATAACACTGCTAACCCTTTATGCAAATGCAATATAGTATACGACTAGCAGAAAATTAGAATAATCATAGTTGGATTAACAATGGCTACTTGCAAAGTGACGGTTTAGGCTGCAGAGAGGAGAAAACCATTAGGAGTGCTATGCAAGAGTGGTTTTAATGTAGTCCTATATTTATAATATATTGTATATTTATAATATAAATAAAATGTATACTTATAATCTGATTACTTTTTTTCTGTAACTGCAATGGTTCTTATATGGTTCCTATTATGTAACACTGTTACACATATTCCGTTAACCCCAGGTCTGGTCAGTACATTTTTTAGTAACACTAATACATTGGTCGTTGGAAAATCCCCATATAAACTCCCATTTTTATTATCATATATATTTATAATTTTAATACCTTTTCTCTGTAACCAACAGAACACAGGTCCTTTAATTGTATCCTGATTATGTAATGCTATTACATGTATGCAGTTACCACCCCAGTCTAGTCAGTTTATTATTTAGCTACACTAATGCACCGGTCAATGGAAAACAATCATAGAGACAATAACCCCAGCCTATGTGTCTGCGTTTGTGTGTTAATGTATATGTGTAAATGTTTAACAGCAACTCAAATCACTGTAGAAAAGGCAAAAGGTTCATGCATATTTTATTCAAGAGTAAAAAAAGAGATTTGTCCCATGGGGCATGCTTACACTGTCTGTAGGTCAGGAAGTCATAATGCCAAAACTCAGTTTCAGAGAAAAATACGAGAGATAGAATCACAAATAACTCATGAAACGCTTCAGTTCTTCATTAAAGTAAACCACAATGAGCGACCAAACGAGGATCAGGTAGAGGTGGAAGAAACCAGCAGAAAGCGCATAATAAATAAGAAGAATATTGTTGAGAATAATGATGATCGGAATATACTTCTCCTTAAAAATGTGAAGACACGGTAAGTTGTGCCTGTATTTGCTTTACATTTTGAGTTACCCATGCAGTCATGCTTAATCAGCCTGGATGGCTTTTCAAACAAGTATATGATCATTCACACAATTGAACGACTTCTGTACATCAACAGAGAACAAAAAAAAAAAGAAATAATATTAATATTAATAATAATAATAATAAAATCACAAGGTTCTGAACCTTACAGGAGCTTAATTGAAATGTACAGCAACAGTAAACAAACAAACAACAAACTAAGGAATAAATAAAGAGACAAATAAATAATACGAACTTATATATTAAAAAAAAAAACAAAGACACAAAAATAAATAAATAAATAAATAAATAAATAAACGATGATCATCCCTTAAAAATATTTACGGTTTATGTACAAAAACAAGATCCCAACGTTATCGTGAGGAGCCGGATCTGCGGTCAGTCTTTTGCAGCTGGACAGGACAGGACCTGATTGAGACCTTGCAGTACATTTCCATAGAGAAACTTCACCACGTGAAAACTTCCACAAAACGGCGTACCAAAACTGACCCTCTTCGACCCACCGGTCTTCTTCATCTCAAGCAGGCTTACGCTAGCGGGTGAATGAACAAGTGCTATTTGCTGAGCGCGTTAACAGTCCAGTGGGCAGTAATGAGAGTCCTAAAGCGAAGAGGCCGCAGCAAGTCCCAGCCAAATAGGTAACGACAGCAGAGTACATCGCAGTAGAGCGGACGACTGAACATGGGCTTAAGGGGCTTTTATCAGGGGGAGGGGAAACCCATAAAGACTGCATTGCGAATACGTCTGAAAAGTCTTTTTTTTTCCCAAAGTCCCCATAGTAAGTGAATAGTACTTCATACTAATCTGTTTAATACTAGTAGCAAAACATGGTAGAAGAGCTAGAGATTGTGAAAGTAAATGCTTATTAGTTGTATATATACACACACACACACACACTCATATGCACACGGACACACACTCCTATGCAAACACACTAGAGGTGGGAATCTCCAGGTACCTCAGGATTCGAATGGATTTCGATTCAGGGTCCCAACATACGATTACAGAACGATCCTCGATGTATCTTTTTATTTTTATATTATCATGTGGGCTATAGACGCTTTTTAAACACAAACTGATTCAGTAAAATCTTTAATGAAAATCACATATTAAATAATGTAATATTAAGCAACAATATTAAAAACTACATTACTCTTATTTCCAAGGGTGTGACTGCAAATATGTCAGAGATTGTCTAATATAAGCGGAGATGGCAATCCTCTGCTGTTTGGCATTGGGGACAAGCATAACGCCCAGCCTGGCCAATCGAATCAGACCTCATAAGTCAATCATATCCAACCTTGACGTCAGAGAAGCCCTTCCAAGGGTTACGACAGTTCTTTACAGCCACGGCGAAGAAGGTCATGAGTGCAACGATGAGTGCCTTTACATGCACCTTATAATCTGATAACTGCGGAAAATCAGATTTTGTCAGTAATCAGATAATGTGAAACTCTGGGTCTACGTGAGTCAGACAGCAATCAGATTTCTGTTTCACAACCAGCCAATAAACTTACAGAAGGAGACGTGACGTAAACATAACGTAAAACTCAAACTTCATGCTGCAGTCTTCAAAAAAAAAATTGCACCGTTTTACCTGAAACTATGAACATATTTAAATCCTTTATTTCGTGTTTGGTTTCAGTGTCACTCCAAAAGTGTTTTGCTGCATCTCGCGGCGACGCTGCTCGCTTATTTCTGACTGAAAAATCCGAAAGAAATCAGAGTAAGAGTTCACATGCACTGAGAAATCTGATTATTGTGCTAAAATCCAGCTCTATTTATCAGATTTCTTAATCGGATTTCTAGATCGAAGTATTGTGTTTACATGACCAATTGAATAATCAGATAACTGCAGAAACAGTCGCACTACAAAGTGATACTGCTGCTGTAGCTAAACGTACCAGCATTTTAAGCCACTGTTACAGACACTTTTCTGGGTTTTTGTCTGCTGCAAGCTGAATGTAAACAATCATTTATCATCCTAAGTTTGTGAAGTAAATTTTAAGTAGCGGAAAAACAGCACAGATTAGATCTTTGCTGGCTTAGTTGTGCCAGTTAGTTAAATGTGTGCTACTTTGTCCTGCTCATTTTTCGGTTATAGAACAATCGGAACTGCTATCAGTAAGGCTGATTTAACACAAACAAGCCTACTTTGGTTTGGTTTGGTCTGGGAGATGTATTAGTTGTTCGGATTGTCATTAAGGTATTTATGCTGGGCTGCTGTCTGAGAATCGACTCAGAGCAAACCATTTTCAGTTGTTTTACTGTTTAAAAAAGGTATGTACCACTTGATTATTACATTCTTTCCTCTATTTACTCCCATTCACTCACTCACAGCCTCTGGTCTCCCTGCTTGGACACTGTTATGCTTTTTTGCACCAAGGGCTGCCATCTCCCCCGTGGACAAAAGTGACTAGCATTGCCCCCTACTGGAGAAATGTCAGACTGCAACACATGCTCTTGTAAATAAGTTCGTAAGCCATGTCCAGTCCATGTGCTTTATGTATTTAAAAAATAAGACGTTTTAAAGACGTCACTCTGGAATTCAGCTATAGGTGACTTTGAGAAAACATAATATATATTATATACACTTTAATAATTTTACAACTCATCTGAACCATCGGGATATTTTAGCAGTGGGGAAAAAGCTTACATAAACATTTTTTTCACTTTCTATGCCACAGCATTAGTCTTTCATTTCTATATAAACATTTCTAATAACTCTGGTTATTACTTAATTAGCCTGAAAGCCAATCAACTGATTGTTAAACAAAGCCGTATTCCTACATACCATATGTTTGCAATGTTTTCAGGCCTTTTACTTCTTATATGCGTGTTTCTGCAACTACAGGCAGTTTTAAGCCCCAGCAGTAAATTTTTGGATAAACAGGTTATAGTTTAAGCATAACGCATAGTAAACGATTTAGCAGTGTCATAACACACTTTCACAAATAAAGTGGTTGCTAAATGCACTGAGCTAATGTATTCTGTGAAGCATATTTTTGGTCAAAATACCAGTTTTATTCATGTCGCACAGTTGCGATTTCAGTCTTCAAAAGCATTAAAGAAGGTAATTATATTACAAAATTACATCTTTTTCAACTGTAAATACACTGTTTGTTAAACTGTACGTTAAACCAGAATATTAATACATGAATTCTGCTCTCAATCAGTCTTTAATATGATATTTCACATTTATATGTTCTTACCATGACAATGACCAAACACCACACACCAAACCAACCTACTTTTGATTAAAGTTACTCAAAGAGTGTGTGGACAAAAGTGAGGAAAATCTAATCTATGTCTCTCAGAAAAGCAAGGTAAAAATCGTCTTCGATATTTTCCTCATTACCTTAATGTTACATTTATTACATTTATTTATAAAGTTTTATTTCATTTCAAATATACACAAAGCTGTCTGCTAAAGCCCATGTAAAAAGACATGCTGTTTGACACTCGAAAACAGAGAAAAAAGTCCTTTAAACAACATGGTTTTTCTAAACATTTGGACAGCCAAAGCTGCCCACAGTTGCAGAAACACCCACAACTATGAATATATATGATTTGTGCAAACCTGTGTGTATTAGTAAAATCCTGCATTCTTTTTCAAGCCGGGCTGCATGTCTGATGTCTGAGAGTGTGAGAGAGTTTATTTTCCAATCACTGGCTGTTGGACGCTGTCATGGGAGAGCATAGGCGACTGACCATGGCCTATCGCTGGCTCTAGCCTGTCCTTATCAGCACTTTGTTGGTGAACAAGGAGAGAAAGGAAAGCAAAAGAAGGAGAGCAATGCGAGAAAATGGCACTTAAGAGGACGTTCACAGAGAACAGCCTCATGTAAGCAAAGTTTAATCGCTAGAGATCTGTATTTGCTATTAGAATGTCCAAATATTTAAATGATCAATATGTATCATATTTCTAACAAGAACAATATTGAAATGAATAAACAGGGATGCACGAGTGCTCAGAGAGTGTTCTGGTAACACACTAACAAAAAATAATACTCATATAATTATGAACATGCGACCGAGCACTTTAACTCACTTCATCACTGCTACCGCTGGTCCACTTTCACTTTCACACCCTAGGTGTAGCATAAACACAGGCTTTAAAAGCTTTTAACACGTTCAAACAATATATTCTGTACTTTGTACGCTGCAGTTTTTGTTTTAGACTATTTCCAACTCCTGCACAGAGCTGCTGCACTTCCTTTCGCACAGGTGCACTGAGTACTTGCAAGTACACGTTGACCATCAGCTGCAGTTTTTTGTGGGTTTGAGTGCAAATTTTTACAGGATATGAGACACAACGGCAAACTGACCGAAAGGCAACCATGCTAGTTCTTAAACGTACGCTTGATGTGTCCCAGGCCCAGCAGTAGGGGAAACCAGAGCCTATTTTTTGTGAAAACGATTCAGAATCTTCCATTTAACGAATCGTGAGGCATCTAAGAATCGATTCTTTTTCCCACCCCTGAAACGCACACACTCCTCTGACAGTGAATGAACAGCACAGAGGCTTTATATTCAGCATGAACCGCGGCGGCTGGCAGAAAAAGAAAGAGGAATAGTCTTTCGGTGAAAAAACCTACTTCCTTACCAAGTAATTACACAACTCACCCTCCCACGCTCAAGCACACACACACACACACACGCAAACAGTCCTATTCATCCATAAGAAAATCACACCACCATCCTATTATCAGTTTGCAGTTAATATGTCATTATGCAACCCACACGCACTCTCATCTCTTTTTCTCCCTCTCTTTCTGTCTTTTCTCTACCTCTCTCAGCCATAAAAACGCACACTTACAGACATGCACACAAAAGCCCACAGAACAAGACATGCTCCTTCTTTTAGCTGTCAATTTGCATTCCTCCGTTTGAATGGCGGCTGAACGTGAAGCCGGCTCTCTGGGCGTTTGGAAACCGGACCTCTCTGTGTACCAGCTGTTTGTCTACTGCGGAGAGAAAGAGAGAAGGAGCAGCAGTGCGGATGGAGAGAGCGAGAGGGAGGGATTGCTTTAGAGGGAATACGGGGCGAGGGGGAGAGGGAATGAGGGCGAGGAGGAAGAGGAGGACAGTGACGAGGAGTAGAGGAGTCACTGGATATTGCTGTTGTCGTCGGTGCCGTTGGACTCGGCCATGTTCATGCGGCCCATGGACAGACCCACGCTGTTGACCACGTCGCGACGAGGGGGCATCCGCTCGTTGATCCGGTCCAGACCCTTCGCCTCCTCGAAACTACTGATCTTATGCTGAGGGGAGAAACCACGGATAGCTACAGGGACACGGAGAGAGAGAGAGAGAGAGAGAGAGAGAGAGACAGAGAGAGAGAGAGAGAGAGACAGAGTGAGAGAGGAGACAGAGAGAGAAACAGAGAAAGAAGCAGAGGGAAACAGAGAAAGATATAAAGAGAGGGAGTAAGAAGGAGAAAAGAGGAAGGAAGAGGGCAAGAAGGTGAGTTAAAGAGATATAGAAAGAAAAAGAAATAAAGAGATATAGAATGAGAGAGGGAGAGAGAGAGAGGGTAAAAGGCACAAGTTAGAAGAGAAAGTGACTCTTCATAAACGCAGTTTCTCACTAAGAAGTGAACAACTCACACGGAAATTACAGTCTACAGAAAATAATACAGCTACAATCAGAATGATTCCCTGAACTCTCTCTCACTCTCTCTCTCTCAAACACACTCACACACACACACACACACACACAGTAACAGCAACCAATTTTGAGGTATCAAACCAAACTTCTCTTGCACTAATTATCAACAACACCTTATGTGAAAAAATCTACCCTGACAGTTGACTTGAAGGTCACTTCAAGAAAGATTTACAGCATTTCTGTGTTCAGGACTTTAGTCTCCCACACTGTAACACCACCAAGAGAGGGGTGAGAGTGCTCTGCTCCTAAAGAGTGCTGGATGTGCTGCATGTGAGACACTGACTGATCTTCACTACCTTTGACACCGAACAGTCAAAGAACTGTACAAATGTTATTACAACAGATGAAATTATGACTGTAATGACACTTCGGGCCAATCCCATTCCTTATTTTCACCCCTACCCCTTGTTTTTGAGTGTCACATTGCATCTTGGAACTGAGTCATAATGGGTAGTGGTTGAAATCTTCCCCTATGAAATGGGACCCTCAAATAAGAAGAACATTACTTCAGGTAACATTAACAGGCTACTAGCTCTGCTCTTTAGGCGACCCTGCCAGTCTGCAGTGATAGCAGAGGAGGGTAAAGTTCAGTAACCTCACTGCTGGGCTTTAATTAACTTTAGGGCATCATACGCCTTCAAAGAGGGGGATACAATAATTGTTTATTATCACCCACCCCTAATTATTCAGTGATATGAAGCAGAAGTCAGATATTCGCCATGTTCATATTTTCCCGCTCCGCCTTAAAGGGAGCAGCAGTTACATTCTGGTGTTTTAGGCTTCAGTACTGCTGGACTGTTTACGATGGAACAGGAAATCTAGCTAGCTAGCAAGACGTTAGCATATTATTAGCGATTTTTTATGCTTGCTATGAAGAAAATGACTTGAATACATTGAAATGACATGGCGTGCGCCCGTCCACCGGGCCCCGATGGTGGCTTTGAGAGCCTGCTGGAAGGCAGGGCCCGAACACCGAGCGGTGTCAAACCCCGGCGAGGACAGCGGGGAGAGAGACGCGAGTGGGTGGGGGATGAAGCACAAAGCCCAAGCTCTTCTGAGGGACGAGAGTGACGAGAGTGATGGCGGGAGGAGGACGACGAAGCTACTGGCCACGAGAGGCACGAGGGCAAGGAGTGAATCCCGAGCTCCACCGCCCGGCTCCATGCCCCTGTTCTGCAGTGAGGCCGCTCCACTCCACCACTCATCCGGGCGGACGAGCTGTGGTGCGGCTGCAGTGACGAGGCGGCAGAGCAACAAGCTCTTGTTCCTTCTCGACTCGGGTGCTCAAAGGCGCTCAAAAGGGCCTTTTAAAAAGGAACAGAGAGAGAGAGAGAGGGGACGAGCAGCAGCAGAGGGCTGAAGAGATGAAAAGCTTAGTGAACAGAAGAACTGTAAAGTCTGGTATTTGAGAAGCAGGACTGAAAGTCTGTAGTTCTAAAGCCACTGAAAAGTGGCCAGCGTAGCGTAGGTCTTGTTTCTGTTTGTGTTTATTTGGTGTGTGATTAAAATATGGCTGCTGCGACCCTGAATCCTGCCTCCATCGTCCTCCTTGTGCCCAAGGTAGCACAGGGCATGCTACAGACATTAAACTAAGACAATACAACGGTTATCATATTTTTTTTAACAGAGAAAATATTCACATTAGTGCGTTTCTCTGGTTGTTCGCTCTTGGCCGCTCTCCTTTTTATTCTCATAACACTCTGAAGTGTGACTCTGAAAAACCTCCGTTTGGAGGGCCATGTAGTCCTAACACTTCGCGCTACCCCTCTATCTCAACAAGAATCAGGACACCCTACCCCTAGGCGTGAAAAGAGATAAGAGGTGAAATGGGATTGGGCCTTCCTCACTTTTTAGGCAGCTCTCTCACCCAAACACCTTTAAATTCACTCTTGTGTAGTTCTTTAAAGTGATAATTTGGCAAAAAAATCAAATCTACAGTTTCCCCCTTATTCCAAATGTAGACGATCAGCTCAGACGTGTTTAGTGTCTGAAGTTTGCTTCTTTAGTTTTTTCACTGGAGATACAAGGTTAACGTAACTAACAAGCAGTGTTGGGGTAACAGGGCACAAAATAACATTACAGTAATGACTTTTTCCAGTAACAAAGTAGTGTAACTCAGCTCCAGTCTGAAACTAAAAAATGCAAACAATGCTGATCGACTATATTTGGAATAAGGAGGAAACTGTGTAAATTAGATTTTTCACTGAACTATCGCTTTAACATAGCTTGTCAGTGTTAAGAAAACATCAAGCTATGAACAAATACATTAAGACTCTGTTTAAAGGCACAGGTTCAGACTTTCCCAGGATTTTTATTAATGTTTCATATAATCAAATCATCATATAATCTCCACAGCCTCAGCTGTTGATTAGTCTTACTGTTTCACACTGATAAAACTGTGCAAAATCCATCTTCACCACTGCACCTTTAACTCCGAGTTCATTCTGCTCTGGTGTTTTTGTTTCCTGTGCGGGAACCAAAGGACTTTATCTTATCTAAGTATGAACCACAGAGAAGCACAGAAAAAGCACTGTTAACTGGAACTGAAATAAGGAACTGATAGAATTGATACCAAAAAACAAGATATAAAAAGAATAGAGTAACCAGGAATCTCTGGACAAAGTCACGACAGAGTAAGCAGCTGCACACTAACACATACACGCAGATTCACACTCATATCATCCACTCATTCACACGTTCAATCTGTTATGTGAAATCCACATAACGCACACATAACGCACACACACACACAAACACGCGCCACATGTCGTAAAATCGGGACATCTGAGGCCAGCTGTAGAGGAAGACACTGATTCACCTTCATCTTTTTCTGACCTAAAATTTCCGAAAACTTCAAACAAAGTGAGTCTACTCACACACACTGCACCACACCATCGATGTTTCCATTAGAAATAACTCCTCTCCACAAAACCACTGAGATTCCGAATTGAGAGATTTTTTCTGAGAGACTTTGCAGGTTTGAATGAGGTTTGATCGTGTTTTTCTCTATTCTGATGGAAACATGGCAGAGATGATGTGAAAGGCTGCTCTCCAGGGGCTGCATTCACAACACAGTATCAGCAAGAAAATGTTCTTAACGCTGATCGTTCGTAGCGTTTTGTTGTGTTATGTATGGCTTGAATGCCCCCATTGTGGAGAGGTCACATGATCCCCATAGGTCACCTGTTCAAAGGGGACCAGTCACAGACGTAGCACTTGTGAGGCAGGGCAGGGCTGGGTTGGTCATTGTTTTTGTTTGTTTGTTTGTTTTATCAGAGGGGAGTCTATCCACGCTCCACCCACAGATGAGTTCCCTTGTAGCTACTGTTTCATTTGACCTGCACCAAAAAAAAGCTGCCATAAATGGCTGTTCGAACCATTTTAGTTCCCTGAAGAACCATTTTGAGAGTGAAGAACCTTTTAAAGGCACAAACCTTCATGTTAAGTTGTTCTTTCTAGGTTAAGTTTCTTAACACTCAAACGTGGTTCTTCAGGGAACCTAAAACATTCTTGTTTGGAACCACTTAAAAATCCTTTGTGGCATCTTTGTTTGTGTGTCATTTACAATCACGGTTCTCCAAAGAAACAACCACTGAAGGTTTCTTTAGAGAACCTAAAATGGTTCTTCATGGTTCTTCACTATTATTAAGGGTGTCATTCGAGATTGTAGTGCATAACTCAGTTTTTAATGCAGATGTTTGGAGTGTGGTATTTATTTCAGTTGATCAGTTCATTTTGCTGTTACTACAGCATCTTTTTCATTGTTTAAGCTACACATAGCTGCTAATATAATACAGTAACAGTACAGTATAGTACTTATATCAGTACAGTTCAGTTAAATTAGCTAGCTATTAGATATCATTTCACAATACATGACACAGTATTTTGACGCACAGACACAGTGCACTAGCAGGGTCACATTCAAAAGCTGCCATCAAAATCTATTCGACAATGATTTTCATTCAAAATTTCACGTACTGTAATGCACTAAATCCAATTAAACAGGACTAATTAGTCAGTAAACTTTCTGCTTAGTGTATTTATAAGATATTCATCATTAAAAACTTTATTAGACCGCAACAAAAAATACTCTAATTTTGAAAATTATCAGTTACAATTTACATCCTTGTTGAAGCAGCAATGCTGTTTCTAGATTGCATAATAATAATGATAATATAATAATAATCGTTCAACATTCAAGTACAGCTTTTAAAAGGCAAGAAGTTCCACTGTTGGCCCTCTTGATTAAACAGAAGCTATTTTCTAGCTACTGCCATCCTGTGAATTACTGAAGTAATTTAGTATCATTTACAATCCACTTATGCTGGCAATGCCAGTAACATCTGTAATGTCAGCACTGGAGGATGCCTTCAGCAGACTATGGCGGACAGTGAACGTGAGAGAACTATGGATAAATCAAGAACCTGCGAGCAACAAAAGCAGTAAACAAGATGAAACATAGCTAGAAGCTGTAAACTGCGTTTGCCTTATTTTCACGTTCACACTGCTCAGGTTCACATTGAATTAATGCAAGTAATACATACTTTCGATGGAGCTTGTATTGACCACTTACAGATGTAACAAAACAGGGTCGATTCATTTCAATTAACTGCACAAACTAATGCGTTTAATCATGATAACTGTTTTAATTGTTTGACAGCTTAAATTTCTCAGGCATTTTCAGACGAATTCTTACATGGTACTCGACTAATAATCAAATGATCAATAACTGGAATGATAATCAAAATAACCATGAGTTTACTCAATAACTTAGATAACTGACAGTGACATCATTTTGAAATGTACATCACTTTTACATATTTTCACAGAACCTGAGTTGGGTGTTACAAATGCGACTAATCGTGATTTGTTGCCTTTGGCAATTAAAAACACATTGATACTTGATTATTAATCAAATTAATGATCAATTACTCAACTTATAACCAAAGTAACTGGTAGGTAACTCAGATGCCAATGTAATTGATAATGAAATCTTTACTTAATTTACATATTTTAACATCTACAGCTCTTCTTTAGGCTGGTAAGGAATTTTGTCTGTAAAGCTGGTCCAGCTTTGAAATGGTAGCTTTAAAAGAGCTTATCTGTGGGCGGAGCATGGAGAGGTCAACCCCGGACACTTTTGCATTGGAGGGGTATTAAACCCCCAAGATTCAGATTGATTGTGATAGTTTTCTATGTGAATTTGTGTGTGTGGCAGAGAATGGAGAACAGCAGAGCGCAGTCAGGCTTCAGCGCGAGCAGCTGTAGGTATCAGAGCTCATATATGTATGTGTGTCTAATTGAGTGTAAAGAGGCAATGATCTGTCTGGCCTATGGTAATGACACTGAGGGTGGTAACATCAGATGACGCAGCCCCCCGACCATTTCATAGCGACCACGAGCTACGTTAGCTAGCCTAGCTAGCAGAGTTCAGCGGTGGCTATGCAACCTCTGAGCACCACAGAGAGAGAGGCCGGCTGGTGATTATTACCTTCTCCGTCCTCAACTGACTCGATGGCTTCTATGGCCTCGATGGTAGCTGAGAAGGCACAGACAGACAGACAGACGGAGAGACAGACAGACGGAGAGACAGAGAGAGGAGGGGTGGAGGGAGCGTTATTGTGGCAGCCATGCACGCAGCACGACCCCCCAACCAGTCCGCCGCCAAGGCCGGGCAGCTAGCAGTTAGCATTAGCGGCACCGCTAGGCGGTTAGTAAGTAGTCTAGTAGTGTTTGTATGCGCATCCGTGCGTGTTTGTTTACGTTGTTTTCGTGTCTGAGTCAGGAATGTGAAGAAAGACAGGAGTGTAGAGGTGCGTAAGTGTGGCAGAGGTGTTGAAAGAGAGATAACGGAGGGACAGAATGGTCAGAGGTCAGAAGTGAAAAAAAGTAAGCGTAAAGAGAAAGAGAGAGGGACAGGTGCTGTAGAGCCCAAACAATTGCAGAAGTAGACTAAAAGAGTGGAAATGAGAGTGAGAGAGAGAGAAAGAGAGAGAAAGAGAGAGAAGAGGCTGACAGAGAAAAAGAGAGGTGTTAAAACTGTGTGATGCTTTTTTTATTGTTTGATGTTTTATTTTGGTGCTTACCGCTCTGTAAGGTTTGCTTTCCTCCAGACAGAACTCCGCTGGGCAGCATGCCAGTTGGGGTCAGGCCCTTTAGGGTCAGCACGTTCTCACTCTCCTCACTGCACAGAAGAAAAATACGTACAAACCTAAATACAGTGAGAAAGAGACGACCTTACACCTGAACTCATTGGCCATATTTTCAGAAACACTGAATAAAAATAAAAACTGCACCAAAAACTGTCATAATTAATTTTACATGATCTGTACTTTGTCCCCTAACAATTAAACAGGCTGTTCTCTTACTGCACCTTTTCAACTATGTAAACGAGCTCTGTTCTGATTGGCTGCCCTGTGTCGGGCCACATTTAAAAAGCAATCCAGGCTGAAACTAACTTCCGCATGAATGGGTGGGGCCAAACAGCTGTAGGCTGAATATGTAATGATACGATATGTCAATGTGTTGTTTTTCATGATATTACAGAAACAATACTTTAAAAACAGAATGTTTTTGCAGCTTTTTTCTATATATGCACTGTATAGACTGGATGTTTTGAAACATTAGCAATTTATATACTGTAGCAAACTATTTTCTTTCCAAAAAGTGTGGAAAATGTAGTTTTCCACTATTTGGGCTCTTCAACAGATGAGCACAGATCAAATCCAAGAGATGTCTGAATACGCACTTCAATGAAGGAGATCATTTTTATACAAATTTATTCTACTTTTGTTAAAAGATTTTGTAAGAATACTGAATCATAAATCTATTGTCATGAATCGAATTAAATCAGATCTCATGGTGGGGTATCCCCCCTAGAAGGGACCACCACAGCCCCGAGTATTAGATGTTATTTGGGTGGCGCTCAGCGCTGCAGTGACATGGTAGGGTTCGTGGAGCTGGTATGAGTGTCACAGTGTCACAGTGTCTCTAGAGTTTTTACACTCCTAAGTGACACTGTTAGTTTGAGAGTGGACCACCACCCAAAAATATCCGGCCAAGAGCATCTCTGACCATTAATGAAGGGATAGAGAACACAAACTGTACATCAACAGAACAGCTACAGTCCCTCACTGTACACCAGCGAGGTTCTTCTCTGTTGGTTCTCCCATCTCTCTGTTCAGTTTCCTGAAAATTCACACACAGAAACACACAGAAAAACTCTCACTAAACTCACCGCAAGACTGAGAACATCTTGGCCATTTTGCCGATGGCACGGATTTTGTTCCTGATCACCTCCTTACGGGCTGCTGCAGCATTGGCTGAGAGGACACAGACACACAGACATATTCAGGAGTTACAGGTGAAATACAAGAAACACACTGACAGTAAGTGAGAAAGGGAGAAAGTCTTTATAGCCAGCTGAGATACCTAGATGATTCATGAATTATAGCTTTGCAGTCAAGATGCTTCTGATCTACAAACATAACTACCCTTAAACTGATGTCTAAATTATGCTACATGTTCTGAAAATCATTCATTTCATTCATTTATTTTCTCACACTTTTATTCAATTAATTTAACCCTAATTTAACCATGAAAGCCAATAAAGAAGAATTCAATTTCTGCATAATTAAACGATTAAGATACAAACTACGTTGTTCAGAGTGTTTCGATGTGAGGCATTCTGTTCCAGAGAGGCTCAGAAGTCTGAATTGTTCCCAGTGGTGGTGATAGGAACCAAGTGTCTGAGGAGTTCAATGCCTCTAAAAGCTACTTTACAAAACGTGAGACATTGTTTCACGCTAGTTCTGAGAAGGTTTTTTTAAAAATGCATTTATGGCAGAGGTACATGCAGGGCGCTCTAAGGCAAAATAGTACCAAAAGAAAACTTTTTTTTAGATTTATCACTGTTTTATGATTATCAGTATTACATATAAAACACCACATGTAGAGACGTGTGTAGGTTCACTGTAAAAAACACACTACCACTGTAAAGAAATCTGACTCAGTAAATTTTCTACCATACTACACCATCTCACATCAAACTACTCTGTAGACTACTAAAATGTTCACATTTTAACGACTCAGTTACGTAGAAATTTTAAAACATCAGTGGAATACCTCTGTAAGGACAAATAATTATTTATAACCAGAGCCTGGCACACACCAGAAGAGGCTTGTGGGAAAGGGGGAAATATGGGTAAAAAAATAAACAAATATGTAGTGCAGTCAATGGTAAAACTCAAACAGTCTTGTGGTAAACGATTAACAGAAACCAGTGAAAGCAGACATTAACTGCCTCTTACAACAACCTACTGTCCATCGCTGATCTCTGTCAATCATTCAACACAAGACTGTTTGGGTTTCAGCACTGACTAACTATATTTCGTATTTGGCTTGAATGAAATTTTTTTTTTATTCCTATTTCCTTCTTTCCCACAGGTGCCTTCTGGTTTAACCAAAGAAATAATTTAAAACTAAGTGCGAAGTATAGTTGGCCAGTGCTAAAAGAGTCTTGTGGTGAATGATTAACAGAAACCAGTGATTAACAGTGAGGTCTTGTATGAGGCAGTTTATGTTTATGAGTTATGAGAATGTTTATGATTTACTCACCTGCCCTGTTTTACTACTGTTTCCCATTAAGGACAAGCTACATTGCAAAGTTTTGTATTTTTGGCCCAATCCCATTTCACCCCTCGCCCCTACCATTTAGCCCTTAGCACCCCCCCCACACCACAGGGGTAGAGTGTCCTGATTCTTGGTGAGATAGAGGGGTAGAGTGAAGTGATAGGGCTATATGGCCCCATTGTATTATCTTAGTTTAGTGTCATTTCAATGTATTATGCTCCTTCTCTTCATAACAAGCATGAAAAAACTGCTAATAGCATGCTGATGTCTCGGTAGCTAGCTAACTTTCCCGTTCCACCTTAAATAATCCAGCAGTTCTGACGTCTGAAGAGCCAGAATGTAACTACTGCACCATTTAAGGTGGAATGGGAAAATACCGAACAAGAATCTGGAGAATATCTGACTTCTGCTTCATATCACTGAATAATTAGGAGTGGGAGATAATAAATCATTGTCTTATCCCTCTCTTTGAAGGGATATGAGGCCCTAAATGTAACTAAAGCCCAGCAGTGAGGAGCTGAACTTTACCCTCCTCTGCTATCACTGAAGATGGGCCAGGTCGCCTAAAGAGCACCGCAAGCAGCCTGTTAATGAAGTAATGTTCTTCTTATTTGAGGGTCCCATTTCATAGGGAAGATTTCAACTACTACCCCTTGTAACTCAGTTCCAAGGGTCAATGTGACACTTGAAAACAAGGGGTAGGGGTAAAAATAAGAAATGGGATTGGGCCTTTATGAGCCAAACCAATCTGTGTCATATTTATTTAGAGCTCTGTAGAATCAAGACACTTTTAACACATGAAATATCAAAAATGGAATCTAATATTGACCCCAGAATGAACTGTGTGAGAAAAAACAAAGGTTCTTATCCTCACCATCAAAGATCTCGTCACCGTCATTCATGAGTTCATCATCTGAGCAGATACTGAGCACATTCACCAGCATCTCTGTCACTGTGGAGAGGCCAAAGCAGAAAGGTCACAGGGTTCGATGTGGCTGTGTAGTGCTATGCGCTGTGTGTGTGTGTTTGCTCTCTCGCTGATGGAAAAGCTTGACGGAGCAACAGGATTAACCTGTATGGCTATACGATCACAACACAAAGGCCACTGCATAGTCTATGGATTACTCACTGCTTGTACAAAACACTACCTATACAGGACACAGAGTGGGAGCGTATAACAAAGCAACCCACATCTGAACAGCGCTGTAGTGCATTTCTTGCCACACCTTACATACAAGTGTTATGTTATAGCAGCATTACAGCATGGATGCAACAAAGTCTTTACAATTCAACGTACATGTAATTGCTTTTGAAAATACTTTGCACAACAGATTTTGCCTGTATCCTTGTTTTTTAGAAAAGATGGTGATCGTACAGATGGGTGACAAAAGAAAAACCTGAATAAATGAGTGTAGATGCTGTAGATTAAGCAATAAACATCCTACCATGTGTGTAGCACGTATAAATGCTGAAAAGGATCAGCTCACCTTTATTTTGGATCAAGATGGCAAAAGGAAAAGATCTACGTGACTTTGAAAGAGTGTTGCTAGGGAGCCGCGCTGGTGACATCCCATATAAATTAAAATAATGCGAGGCCAGGACTTATTAAAGCGTGGGAATGAGATAATTAAGTCGTGGCTACAACTTAGTAAGATGTGGGAACGAGATCATGCCTTACTAGGTCGTGGCCACGCATTAGGATCTCGTTTCCACACCTTACTAAGTCATGGCCATGACTTAATTATCTCATTCCCACACCTTATTAAGTCACGACCGTGCATTATTTTTATTTATACAGTTTGTCCCCAGTGGGGCTCCATAGGTAGCAGTGCATAGACCCCTCAATACAAAGATGAATGCACATCTGAGAGTTCAGTGGTGTAATAACCACAGACACTGATCTACAGAGATGTGGAAAACAGTGATATGTGAAGATTCGCTTTACCAAATTCTCCACATGTGCTCTGTTATGCTGTGGGGGGCATTTTGTTGGCATGGTTTGGGTCCACCTGTCCCCTTGGAGGGAAAGATCAGTGTAAATCAACAGAGAGTTATTCTGATGGGAGTGGTCTCCTCCAGGATGACAGCGCCTCCATCTACAGGACATGAGTATGGAGGTCAATCAGTGTCACCAGAAGATGAGCCTGAATTCAGACTGCTTCAAAACAAAATGCAAGCTTAACTTGATGATCTTCAGGATTTTCATTGCAAATTTTAGATATTTGAATAGACTGAATCTGTATGAATTCACCTTTTTGAAATTAACGTCTTGAACAATTCAAGAAAAAAAATTGAGGTTATAAAAAGTTTAGTTTAAAAAAAAATAAGAAATGTAGGTTGAAAACAAGTGTGAAAGAAGGTTCAGGTTCCAAGATTTTTGTATCGTGAGAAGGTAAACAAGCAACTAATAACTGGGAAAGCCCCATGTTGCCTTAACAGCGCTGGTGTGAAACCCTGCCCTCTGAGCTGTGTTGTGATTGGCCAGGCTTGAGTTTAATTATGTCCCGCCTCTTTTGCTCTTTCTGTGTAGCCCAGATGTCTCCCCTGAATTTCTACAACCTAAAGTTATCACACTTGTTTCTTGTTTTTATTTTGGTCTAACTACTTTTTAACTTGAACTTTTTATGATTTCTTTGTAACCTGATTTTTTGAACCAAAATCCAAGACTTCAATTTCAAAGGTCAGATTTCAGACTAAGTACATTCAAATATCCAAAATTTGTAGTAAAAACTTTGAGAATATCAAATTACACATGCATTGTTTTCAAGCATCATAAATTCAGGTTCTGGTGACACTGATGTATTTGACCCCTTAATTTGAGGGATCACTGAATGGATGATTAGTATGACAGTGATATGAATCACAAGCTACGGCCTTCGCAGTCACTAGATCTCGACACAGCTGAACACCTGTAGGAGATTTTGGACTGATTTGTTAGACAATGCTCTCCACCACCATCTTTCTACTATCAATCCACCATCCTTAAATGCTCTCCACCATCATCAGATCACCAATTGAGCGAATATGTTTTGGAGATATGGCGCTCCATCCCTCCAGTACAGTTCCTGAGACTTGGAGAATCTACGTCAAGACGCAATAAAGCTGTCCTGTCAGTTACTGAGACAGTTTATGTTGGGTTTCCCTTTGATTTCTCACCCGTCAGTACATGGTTGTCATAATTATGACCAACATTTCATAACATTTCTTTAATAGGAAACTGTCAGATGTAGTATGTTAACATGTTTCATATTTCATGTGTGGGTTTTCGCTCCTCTTGTACCTTTCTCTCCTACGAAGGGCAGAGACCAGGTGAACACGTCCATGAAGTTAGGCAGCCAGTAGGGGTGCGGCGAACAATTAAACTGCCGTATGTTCATCACATTGTTCTCATATTTTAGCACAGCAGCTGCAGAAACATGAAATAGTTAGAAACACACACACACACCACAGTTTTCCTTCCACAGTTCATTTAGGTTGGTAAGCTTGACGTTTAACATATGTATCTCACACACCTGTCAGTCTGTCAGTCAGCTGTGTAAAGCTACAGTAGCATTATGCATATGACACATTCGCACAAGAGAGCACGTTTCACACGGAGGGCCAGATGTATGTATGAGTGCAGAACAACAGCAATATGCACCCACAATGCAACAGAATAGAACGCTTGATTTACTAATACTACAGATTGTCATAAACACTGCATATAGCCACACCTACTAACTGTTGAGGACCAGGGTTTAAAAGGCACAGTAAAATAATGGAGCTGTCAACAAGCTCAGTGAAAACCAGAAAAAGAAACTCAGCAATGAAGAGATGAGAAAATTAAGTTTCCCACCAAAATATTCTACAGGGTTTACTCCAGCTATGAGTTCATACAATGATAGCATAGACTTAATACTCCTGTCACCGTCTAACTGCTGTGTTTGCTGCCATTGTTAACAAAAGTCTCTCAACAACACATGAGGGGAAAATTGAAAACTGATGTAAAAACAGGCACTAAAATTTTAGTAAATCAAGCAGACTCAGCTACATGTACTCAGCTGCATGTGTAACATTTCCACTCACTTTTTGCGTGATCCTCTCATGTATACCGAAATCGCAATAAGAAAGCATGCTATTTTAATTGTAGCCCTTATTGTCAACACTGTTGTTGTAAGTTGTACACAGGGAAATTTAACCCAATAACACAGAGCTTGTGAACTGCCTGTAGTTGACTTAGACCCCATGTGTCAAACACAAGGTCACAAGTCAGGCCTGTGACACAGTCCTCTTTGGCCCACAAAATTATTTTCATTATTAGCTTGTATCACAATGAGTTGCACTACAGTCCCCAGCATGCACTGCAACACTGTTTGTTCTAAACCCTCTTCTCCAACAACAAGCTATCGGTCGGCGGTTACACAAAAAGAAAAGATGCCAGGTGTTTAGTTCAAGCAAACAGACAGTTTTTAAAAAATACTACCTAAAACAATTAATTTTTATTTAGAATTATGTTTGAATAAGTATTCAATGCCTATCTTGCTGTAGCAGTTTTGGCATATTTTGAATAAACGATGGTCCATTCGGCTCAGGGCAAAACGTTAAGTAAAAATGAAATAACACAGCTGGCCCACAGATTTATTGAGATTTTTTTAATATGGCCCTTTTAGTGCTTGGGTTTGACACCCCTGACTTAGATGAATCAAAAGCAACCAAACAGCCATGCGCTATGTGAGTGGCAATGTAACCGCAGCTAACTGGCAGTAACTGGTAGCCTCAAGCCAGAAAAAGTGGATATGCTGGTCTACTTGACAAAAAGCAGGCCTAGACATGAATACATTTCAATTTAAGTCACAGTCATGATATTGATTAAAAGAATTGCTTTTAAATATTTTCCCTAATACGTTCAGTCCTAGCAAGCCCTCATATGCATATGCGTGAAGAAGAGAAGCACAAGTGTTTTACCATGCACACGGGCCGTAGACTACGCTTTTAGGCTGATGCACCGGGTTCATTCATAACAAACAGGCAGAACGTCTGCCTGACACTGCTGCAAAAGACTTAGGCCTGATTTCACGCATACAAACTCTTGATTTTCATTTTGGTGCTCATGTTAACAGCTCAGAGCTTTCACACAGTCAGAGGGGCAGAGCATTACAGCCGCAACATGCAATAAAATACACTGAAATAAGTAATGAAAGTCAATAACAATAAAACAGAAAAACAAATAAAAACGTTACAAAATGCAAAATCTTTAATAAAAGACTGTTAAGAAATACTAGTTAAACATTTTGTGCCCCATACAGATTTCCCGGTTGGTCTACCAGGCTTGAAACAATGCCCCAATCACAGCTCAGAATGCTATCGAGGATAAACAAATGTGTCACGCTCTTTTACGAATAATATTTTCGAACAAGCTAAGTGACTGACTATTTATCTGTTTGGAAAAAGGATATCTGTAACACTTTCTTGCTGCAACACTCTGCAGAACAAACCCTGCCACATTGCTCGTGTCATACAGAGGTTGCATGTGTGAAACCAGTCTTACTACATTGGTCCCAGCATGCATGTTCGTGAGTGCATATGATTGTGTGTTTGCATACTGTCAGTGTTATCGAACTCCATTTTTTGGTTTGTTTTTATCTTTTAAACCATTGTAAAATGCCAGCGGTCCTACATTTGTGTGACAAGCTCAAGATGAGTGGACTGATAGAAATGGTCTAAAATGACTAAAATTACCCTTAAAAAAAATAATACATTTTTGAATAAACAAATTTACATCTCCAACACAGTAACTTTATAAAAGATTCTTATAAACATTCTTAACTTTTAATACAAGTTAATGTACAGTAATTTGATCTATTTATACTGGTACTTTCATCATCCAGGTTTCACACCATGTAAAGAGCATGATTCTGACCTTTGTTATTATAAACGTCCAGGTAATTGGGAGCGGAGAAGATGGTGATGAGGGAAGGGAAGCCTGTCGTCTGGCTCTTTCTGTACATGCGGTAACTGCAGAGAGAAAACGTGCGAGACTGAGTTTAGAGAAGATGAGTGTTAAACTCATGTGGGTCCCAAAGGACTTTTTTACCGCTCTGTGATGGCTCAGGACAGTTAATGGTGAGTTTCCTAAAACTGCTTAGGAGAAACAGCATTAGATAAAGAGGAGATACAAGAGCATTAAGGAGGAGATGAGCGTTTAGTTTCAGGTAAACATGAGAATTGTTATCTCAGCAAATCTACTAAACCTCAAAACTCCTTTTCTCAGGAAAAATACCTGAGCAGCAGGAGGGACTAAAAGCTCTCAAAGATATTAAGGAGATATCTTTTTATTTTTCTTTCCTGCAGTGGGGTAGTCATGCATTCTGCCTGAGCCCAAGAGCATCCCACCTACAGCACCTACAACAGTTTTAAATCCATAGTGTTTTGGGGGCTAAAGGAAATAAGGAACTTCAGGAATGCCATGCCCCATAAAGCTGCATGAAACCATATAAAGAACACAAAAAAAAACAATATGCAATAATTATTATTGATCCCTTCACACCCAAATCAAACTTTGTGCTTTACGATTCAAAGTTTCCTCCTAAAAATAACTAACTTCCACTGCACCATCTCCAATGTGCCCGCTTAAAAGCTGTTTTAGGCCATGTTTATTTTATTTTCTATATTTATTTTAATTATTTCTTTTCTATTTTAGTTACTTCTTCCATAATTTTAATTGTAGAGCGCATCAGAAACTGATCACATACACTCTCAAAAAAAAGGTACCGTACTGTCACTGGGGCAGTGTCCCTCTTGTCACTGGGGTGGTCCCCTCAAGGGTACATCTCAGTACCTTTAGTCAGGGAACATAATTGTACCATAATCCACTGAAATTATATTTCCTAAATTGTATTGACTCCACACATCCAGCCTCGTCTCCAGTCTTATTTTACTGTTCTATTTTAATACATTCGTTTATGAAAAGGTACAAATCTGTACTTTTCACCTGGAAAAACGTATTTAAGGTACACAACTGGACCTTAAAACCACTGTTGTACCTTTAAAGGAACGTTTACATTGTTTGAACCCTGATGAATGAAAAATGTACCTGCACAGAACCTTTATTTCTAACAGTGAAGCTAGCAGATGGCTACCTCAACTACTGATTGCCTGTGTCTCCAATAGATGCACACATGGCTGGTCATGTGTTCCCTGACTTGTATGTGTTTACAACAGCATGTCAATTGTCCTAAGTATACACACAAACGGCTAGTTGTAAGCTTTACAACACAATGTACATGGACCTGACATAATCCTAATCAAAAAAGCAGCGCGAAGAGGAACAAATTCAGGAGAAAAACTAAAGCTGGGTAAATTTAGGCCAAAATCCATTAAAGGAAATCGGCTGTGAATGTGAAATCTTAACACAGCCACACTATGACCTGAGAAATGCTGTCTAACCCACGCTTATGAGGCTGCGTGTCAGAGGTGAGAGGAGAGTTATGACTATAATTGAGCAGTATGAGTATTGTACTGGGGCCTTGGTGCCAGGCCTGGTCTCTTGAGGCCAAAAAAGTAGCTATTTCTGCTTTTTAATCTACTCTTCTCCTTAAATGACATGATATCTCAATGCTGTGGTCACGTTCTTTATCATACATAAGGAACAAAAAAAAAGCACAGGAATATAGTCATATGCAAAAATTTGGGCACTCCTGTTCAAATGATGTTTTGTTGATTTTCTAAGCAAAAATACACCAGATACATCAGCCATAACATTAAAACCAACTCCCTGTTTCTAGACTCTTTGTCCATTTTATCAGCTCTGATCCGCTCGTACTAGCACAACATACACTAACACACCACCACCACGTCAGTGCTGAGAATGATACACCACTTAAATAATACCTGCTCTATGGGGGTCCTGTGGGGGTCCTGACCATTGAAGAACAGAAGGATACTACAGTATGCAGAGAAACAGATGGGCTACAGTCTGTAATTGTTGAACGACAAAGTGCTCCTATATAGAGTGTAGAAACAAGTAGGTGTTCTGTGTTATGTTATGGCTGGTCAGTGTAAGCTCATCCTCTATAGAGAACACACTTCTTTAATGCATTTTAATGCACAATTACTGTTTGTCTGCTGAATTTAACATATTGAGAAAAAAATGTTAGGGCACATTTTACATTTTATTGTTCCATCATGTTAAACTAAAATATATAAAGACTGCAGTAAAAATGACAGACAATGCCATATTAACCTTGTACAGCATCTTGAAACTTTTCCCTCAGAAAATCAACAAAACATTTAATTTGAACAGAGAAGTTCAAACTTTCGCATACATCTGTACTTAATAATAATTAAAAAAAAATAAAATAATAATAATAATAGTATTTATATTTATGCCTGTGGCAGCTCAAAATGCTTTACAGACAGGTGATAAAATTCAACAGTATTAGAAGAAATGATAGGTATTAATATAGAATCATATAAGAAAATGACTTTCATTTTTCAATGAATGAAAATCAAATTAGAAGATAAACACCACGAGACGTAGAGTTTTAATTAAATGCTGAGTTAAACAGATTCGTTTTTAGATGCTTCTTAAAAGTGAGCTCTGAGCTTGTCTGTCTAATAAAAGGTGGAATTGAGCTCCACAGTTCAGAAGCAGAATAACTGAACGAGCCTCTCCATGTTTTCTGTATTTTACAGAAGGTGTTTGTAGAAGTTCAGTATCTGCAGATCTAAGATCTCAAGCTGGATCATAAACAGACAAACACTCTGTGATGTAAGCGGTGCTTTAAGGTCATTTTGAGATTTAAAACCTAGTAGCAGAACTTTAAGATCTATTCTAAATGACACAGGAAGCCAGTGCAGCTCTTTTAAAATGGGAGTGATGTGATCTCTCTGTTTTGTTTTTGTTAGGATGCTGCTGCATTTTGTACGAGTTGTAGAGGACGTATTGTTTCTTAGGAAGCCCAGTAAGAAGACCATTACAGTGATCAACTCGTAACAAATGCATGAACAAGTTTCTCTGCGTCGCTCTGAGATAGAAAAGGCAGAACTTTAGTGACATTTTTCTTCAGCAATATTTCTCAAACTTCATACTACAGTCTCCCTTTATAGTTACTCTGACGAAAAAAATCAATAATAAGCTCATAATGATGTCAATTCTGTTCTGAATGTGGCAGCTTTTTAATGCAGTGATAGAAAACACAGTAGCACCTGTTCCACTGATGTTGCCAAAGGCACACTGTCTTATTTGCTAAGAACACTTCTTGTTGTAGGAGCATGTTTTTTTTTTTTTGTTGTTCAACCTAGTTTGCTCTTAGAGTTTCAAACGTTTGCCCAGAACAGCCCCTCTGTAACTGATACATGGCAAATATATGGTAGCTAATTTCTGCACAGACTCAAACCATTTAATCAAAGTCTTCACCCACAGCAAAAAGGGCAAGGTTACTCCTACAGCTTCCCGTCATGAACACAGACCTAGTTTCAAATGATTTCAAAAGTGCTAGGGACATTCTGGAGGGTGTTTGGGGGTGTTGGGGGACACGGGGGATTTAGCTGAGTCACCCCGCCCCGGCAAAAAAAAAAAAAGATATAATTTCCCGCCTTAATATTTGCCATATATCTATCAAGCCTAATCTCCTCAACTAGCAGACACTTTTAGAGACAAACAAGCATAAAAGCCTTAAACTGCTACAATTACTGTTCACTGTAAGAGATGCTGTAGTGGTGTGTAATAGTAACACTGTAAGACTGTTACACTGTAGTGTAACGCTGGCATTGCAGTGATGCAGGGTTTAAAGCAGGGACCCTGTAGTGGGTCTAATACAGTGGTCCGCAAGTATGTGCAACATAGGCAGTTTGGTGTACACAGCAATCAGGACAAAAATTTACTTTCCCCTTTTTTTCAAAATTTCTGCAGATTTAGATAATTACATTAAGATGTAAACAGTCATTCAGAGTGGTTGAACGTGAAATGCTCTGCTGTAGAGAAACATATTGAGTCGGTAAATCCACATTGGTGGTAATCAGACTGAAGCAATTAATGCCTCTACAAGCTACCTCAGAGGAAATTATCAGACAAAATGATTATGAATACACTGCCTGATATTTGGCTACGTTCACATTACCAGGTTGAAGTGGCACAAATCCTAATGTGACTCAGATCTGATGTTTTCAGGGCTGTGTGGACATGCAAATCTGATCTTTTTAAATCCGACCTGAGCCACTTTCACATGTGGTCCTAGATCAGATACGTATCCCGATTCGTGGCCATGCGACCTTAATGTGACGCTCAGATTGGAATTCATATGCTTTTTTTTCCACTGCGCATGCTCCATCATTCAGCGTTACCATGGCAGCAGCGCCGAACAGATGTTAAAGCCTGTAAACGGTGGAAAAGCAACTCATTTCACCTTTTTCTCCTTCGTCTCGCTCTGATAATGAACAGCTGAGAGCTGATCAGAGTTAATGATCTTCACAGCGAAGCTCGTTCTGACCTTTAGTCTGTTTGATAATGATGAACGTGATTCATTCACGTGACGATACTGAGTAGGATGTGATCATGAGGGTCATTTCAGGACGCCGGTTCGTTCACATTAATGACAGATTTGAATCACTTACCTAAACGAGCGTGAACCATCGAGTCAGAGAGATCGGATTTGAGCAAAAATCTAACTTGAGCAATGAGGCTTGTAATGTGAATGTAGCCTTTGAGACAATGTTGTTTGATATTGCAATAAGATTTTGGCCTAAAACGTACTTTTAATATTTATAAAGGGCAGAGAGGTACATGCAGGGTGTTCTGAGGACCATAGTGATAAAACCGATTTATCACTATTTTACCATCAACACTACATATAAAATCTCAGAAGACACGTAGCAATACTGGAGGTTTTTGATAGTAAATAAAATTGCTATATTAGCATTGTAGTCATTGTGACCCCGGTTCCTATCACCACCACTGTAAAGAAATCTCATGCAGCAAGTTTCTCTATAGTAAACGATTTCATATCAAAACACTGAATGACTTTATTTAAAAAGTCTCAACTACCGAATTATGCTGAAGTTTTTTGGATTTCCCCTTTTCATTTATTAATATAATTTTTTTAAAGCACATTTTTAAGAAAAGTATGAAATATGCACTTTTTTCTATAAAAAGTTAATGGATATGCCAAGATGAATTAACGCATCCTTTTAAGTATGGTGTCATGAAGCTTTAGCATTGGTTAGAAAACAGTCACCTAGTTAGCCTTCTTATAGTAGGTTTAACTGATAAACCTTATTTTTCCACTGGCTGTTTTTGTTTCTTGCTATCAGATAAAAAATGTTAACAGTATAGGCTTATAAACATTACCAGTGTAGTGTCATTATGTCTGAAAATGCCTGGCAAATACTGCACAACAAACATCCAAAACGTGATGTTAGTTAAATTCAATATATTAGGGATTATTAAAGAACAGTCTTACCCTGCGTCCTGGGCCTCGTGAGCTCGGATGACTGAGAGAAGGTTATTAGTCTGTAGGAACTCACACACTGCAGGATAGCTGAACGAGAGAGAGAGAGAGAGAGAGAGAGAGAGAGGGAGAGAAAGAGAGAGGGAGAGAAAGAGAGAGGGTTTAAATATTTCAGACACAACCTGACACCATAGTATGGAAGATTTTCTAGAGAGTGTCAAACGGTCACTGAAATCACCTTCAAGAGATTAATTCTGAGGGTCATCATGCTGTCAAATGTAAGCATGCTCTGTCTACTCAGATAATTGGTCACAGTTACATCCTGCTTGTAAACTCTCTCACAGCCACAAGGTGGAGCTACTAAGTATCCATATTCAAATATATCCACATTCAAATATCTCCTCAACAGATCATACACAAATAAAACCTCTTAAAGCACAGTGATCAGTAATATCCACTACAACCACACAGTAAAATGTGTGAATGTAGTTTTTGCTGGATTGGAATCTGATTCTGACAGCTTCCTGTTTATGACTGCAGCATAAATTTCAGAAATTGTGTCACTAGCAAAGGCCCTGTGTGTATCACCCTAAAAACACCTGACTTTCCTAGTGAAAGAGAGCTTATTTCAAATAAAGGACCTGAGAGGAATCAAATGCATCACCAGTTCAAGATTTGAGTGAATGTGATCCAGTTTGGATTCATTGCTGTGACAGCCTCACTTCTATACAGGGAAATGATACACATAGGAAAATACTTCAGCAGGGAAATAAGATACACAGGGAAATATCTCTATAAACAGAAATGTTTGTGAAAAGGGGCCCTTTTGCCTTTGCTGACTGCAACTCAGGGACATTTTATACACAAACAGGGTCACATGGAAAAAGAGTCAAAATAACATGAACTTCATTAGAATTCTAACCAGCAATTTATCTCAAAAAGAAGAACATTTACAAATGAAGGATGGTACAGATTTAATCTTGTGGTATAGTGATACTCACATTGATTTACTGCAGTTCAATCATTGTAAACTACAATAAGGATACCTTCCCACTGCTAAGCACTACTTCTCTTATGTCTAAGGAAAAACTCATTACAACAAACCTGCAGTGAGAACGGCAGTGGCAGTAAATTAGTTGAAATTATTAGATTATGGTTAAATAATAAAGCAATAAGCCACGAGAGGCTGTTTGAGTCTTGGTTCCTCTCAAGGTTTCTTCTTCTTGCTCTTAGGGAGTTTTTCCTTGCCATTGTCGCCACTGGCGACACTCATGGGGGCCCGGACCCGGATTTTTCTGTAAAGCTGCTTTGTGACGACAAGCGCTATATAAATAAACTTTGACTTTACACAGCAGCGTTTAATGTAAATACTTTCCTTTAAAAGCACTTTTTGGTCACCAAATTACCACCACAAGTCTTTTGCCAGTCTGAGGACGCCACTTTTCTAACGCTGGGGCTAAATCTCAAACGGATCCCTGCTCCCTACATAGTGCACTAACTTACATAGGAATTTAAATACTGACTCCTGCAGCACAACAATGCACAATACTGCTAAAAATGGTGATTTGGGATTCATCCACGTTCATACTCGACAAGCAATGCACTATTTGACAATAGAAGCTAGAATTTCTAAACTTAATGTAACACAGCACACTACTTAGGGAGTACAGAGCCATATGGGGTTCAGTCTGGGTTTGACGCTACATCTGACTGAAACATGGACATTTGAAGACATTCAGGTGATTTTCTTTAGACTTTTTTATTGCCGTTTTTCAAAGAATCATATTGTGAGTACTTTAATTCAAGCCTGTGGTATTAATGATGGAGTTATTTAGCATGTTTGCTATTTTTTAGCCTGTTGTCTAGCTGACCAGCCTAGTTCCAGTAAAGAAAATAAGTTGCCAGCCCCTAAATTTAAACAGAACCGGGTTCTTACTCATCAGTACACTCTAATCAGCATTAGAGTGAAAGATTAATTCATTAAAAGCACAAGAGTTTTTTGTGCCGTGGCGCAGTGATACAGAGTTCAGCTGTTGTAAGATCGTCATATACAAATACTGATGTATCGTGGATTTTGCAACAGGATTTTACAACACGGCCCAGCGAATGAGATTTTAGGACCGGAACTATCCGTTTTACAAGGTTAAACAAACAACATCTGAGAACAACATTAAGGTCAGTTAGCTTTTCTTAGCTTAGCTGCTGAAAGCTTGATAAAGTAGTCAGATTCAAGTTTTCCTTTGAGCTACTGTACCATTTTTACCTTCTCAGTCTGTTAGCACAGCTGCCACGGACACTACCAGGAGGTCTGAGCTGAAAGTTTCACAAATATAGCAACGGCACCTGAGGGAGGCAGTCAATTACACCTGTTCCCACCTTGTTCATGACACAATAAGCAAAATGGACACTGTGTGAATAAAGTGAGTACAGAGAAAAGTGCCTGAAGCTCAAGGTTTGATGCTTTCTCAAAAGGTTAGTCTGTGAAAAATCACTTTTCCTTACTGTGCTGGAATCTGTCTATGTCACTCGACCAGCCTGGGCCCATTTCCCTACAGCACTGCAGAACAAAGACGACTGTAAGAACACGCTCCACCAGTTAAGACGATCTTAAGGATACGGTGGGGAGGATGTTCGAATTCAGTCGGGAATCATGGAACCATTACAGGAGAGACATCGACAAACAACAATAAGCAAATATTTCTTTCTGAACAATCTCTAACACTTAGAGCAGTGATTATCATGTATATACAGGATTTTCACGACCTCAGAATGTGGGTAAATGTATTTAAACAAACATTCAGTTATTATATTAAACAAACAAAAAAATAACGTAATTAGATTTGCTAGGATGGTTGCTTAAGGTCACTCGATCCCTGAGCCCTTTTATCACAGCAACAAAATTGACTTTTTTTTTCTTTCTTTGTTACCTTGTTAGCTTATGTTACTGGTCACAAACATGATTAATTATATATCATTGAAAAACAGAATTCTTGTTTTTCTATAGTCTTTGAGTGAAGTGAAGGGACATTTCCCACCTCTAAAACGTCTTCTGATTATTGATTACATCACTGAGTACCAGCGGGCGGGAGAAACAATAATAACCAATAATATCATGTTTTACCTCCTACTCGCACTACCACACCTTTCATCAGCAATAAGCAATAAGCCACGAGAGGCCGTGGGTTACTGCGACTTTATCACGGGGAAGGGCCTAAAACTACCTTTCCCATGATAAAATTGCAGTTACTCACTGCCTCGAGTGGCTTACTGCTTTTATAAAAAAGCGACAAACATAAAATATATTAAAAAACACAATATTTTAGATAATTATTTAAGTTATTATTAATAATAATCAGCATAAACAAGTATTCAGCCAAGAAATGTAGTTCCTTTAGAGTACAGTATTGTTGCTAAGTAACCACTGACCTCTGAATGAGGAGAAGAATAATAACCAATTTTATCATGTTTCACCTCCTACTCCCACCACCCCACCTATCATCAGGAGAAAACGCTCAGCTAGCTCAGTGCAAGGTACTTCTAGCAATGTGGGATGATGTTCAATAATTACATAGTGCTGAAACAATTATTCCACATAATCTATAAGGTGGGCAGTAAATAATTGCCTTCAAATATTTACACTGTTGAGTTTTTGTTTACATTTTCAAAGTGATGATTAGCACAGAGTGAATTAACAACCTGAGTAAGGCAGCAATTCACTTATAGTGTCATACCAGTGTAAGCAGATAGCGAAAGAACAATCATAAACGTTAAAAAAGTAAAGTCTGAAAACATTTTTTTAAAATGAATGACAGTAACATATGCAAGTCTGACTTTCCACGCAAGCACAACGTTACCTTCGACCCCACCATAAAGAAAGCATGCTGAGGTCATATCTGTGAGTAAAGGTTATATATATATATATATATATATATATATATATATATATATATATATATCTCACTGTTGTCGGAGGAAAACCTTGTATCTCCATTTTTTCATTTTTTAGTTTTTGACATAATTTGAAAATGCATGTTACTCTTTACATTGTATGTAAATTTCATGATGAATGGACCAAAACAAACAACTCAAAATGATTTGGAAAAAGTCTGGTTCCATTAACTTACATTAAAAGTAAAGTAGGTTTTTTCCTTCTACTGTAAAGTTACCATTTTAGAGATACAAGGTTTTCTTCTGTCAACAGTGATATATACATATACATAACCTTTACTCACTGTTCTGTTGCTTTGACACCAGCATGCTTTCTTTTATGGTGGTCGAAGGTGTGCAACCACTAAACTGAAAGGAATCATTACACGACACAGACAGACTAACATTCAGCTACTACACCTTACGCCTCTATCAAACCAGGAAGAACAGCATCATAACATGACACAGTCAGTGAGCGTCGCTCACCGTAATGTATTCCAGATGACTGGTAACGGCTGATCACGCTCACACACAACATCTTCGTCTAGTTTGTTTGCTCTCATTGATTTTGGCAGATTTCATAAGATGGGAGAGAAAGCAGAGTGAGCATGCAAGCTAGCGTTAGCGCCTCGGGCTCCCTCTCGCTGTCTCTCTCTCTCCTGATTCACTGCAGTTTGAGACGGATCACTTTCTCCACAACCATCCCTCTACACATTCCCCTGTTCTCTCTCACTCCATCTTTACTGCTCTTATTTATTTACTTGTTTGTTTATTTTCCTCTCATCTCTCTATGTCCCTCTATCACTCTCCTATTTTTCAGCCTCTCTATCACATTCCCTCTCTATCACTGCCTCTGTCTCTATCACTCTCTATCTTTCTCTCTCTCTCTATCTCCCTCTCTCAGTCTCTAACACTCTCACTGTCACTCTATCTCTATCACTCTCTATCTCTCTCTCTCTATCTGTCTATCTATCTCTCTCTCAGTCTCTAACACTCTCTCTGTCTATCTCTCTCTATCACTCTCTGTCTCTCTCTCGTCTCTCTATCTCTCTCAGTCTCTAACACTCTGTCTCTCTATCTCTTTATCACTCTCTCTGTCTCTCTCAGTCTGTCTATCACTCTCTCTCTTAATCTCTCCATCACGATCTCTTAGTCTCTCTCTCTCAGTCTCTCTATTACTCTCTCTCTCAATCTCTCTATCTCTCTCACTCAGTCTCTCTATCGCTCTGTCTCTTTCTCAGCCTCTCTATCACTCTCTGTCTCTCTATCTCCCTGTTTTCCAGTCTCTCTATCTCTCTCAGTCTCTTTATCTCTCTCAGTCTCTGTAAATCTGTCTGTCTCTCTCTCTCTCTCTATCAGTCTCTCTCTCTCTGTTTCTCTATTAATCTCTCAGTCTCTCTCTCTCTGTTTCTCTATTACTCTCTCAGTCTCTATCACTCTCTATCAGTCTCTCTCTCTCAGTCTATCACTCTCTTTTCCTCTCTCTCTCTCTCTCTGTGTTTCTCTATTACTCTCTCTCTGTCTCTCCCTCTCTCTCTGTCTCTGTCTCTGTCTCTGTCTCTCTCTCTCTCTCTCTCTCTCTCTCTCTCTCTCTTTCTCTCAGTCTCCCTATCATTCTCGTTCTCAGCAGATCTGGCAGTAGTAGCCAGTTGTCATAGTAACGGCGGATCGCTGAGTCCCGAGGGATCGTGGGAATTCTGTGTTTTTTTTTGTTTTTTTTTGCTGAGGCTGGCCACTGTTTGGGCTGCTTTACAATTCCAATTACCAACGCTGCCTCATTTTCACGCTGCACCTAATCACTCAGCGTGCACAGCTCTCCTTACGCACTCTATTCACCAGCTGAATTTTCATAAAACAATGGCGAGAGGGATTGGGGCCCGGTTCCCTTCGGAAAACTCACACGCCAAGCTTTTAATTCCAGAAACAATACCTGCTGACATTAACAAAAAAAACATATAAGACTCTAAATGGTTTGTTTATGTTGCTTCTAGCTGTAATCTATGCAGTCAAAAAAGCCCTTTCTTTTGGCTCACAGTTGCGTAAGAAGGTTGTACCTAAAGCTGCTGAAAGGTTTTATCTTAAAGAATAATTGAGCACATGTAACAAACAAAAATGGCTCTGCTTTTCTTCATCTCTCTCTCGCAAGTATGCACAACCACACACTACACTAGAACTGCGCACTGCCAACTATCTCTCAACACTCATTGTGATACAAATATCACAGACTGAAATATCACGATGTATCACTACATTGCAACTGGGTCATACTGGTTAAAGTATTGGCTATTTGCACAGGACGGTGCAGTACACCTCCGGAATAAGCTGTGTAGCAGCTCATCAGGACCTTTTCTCAAAGAAACGCCACTGAGCAGGACATAAAGTTACTGTCTCGCGAAGTGTTTGTGGATCCATTTTCCAGTGAGAGCATCCCCATAAATTCCAAGGGCAGGTTTATTTTATATTGTTTCTCCCAAACATTCTTCTTATGTTCAAGTCAACTTTACACACAGAAAACAGATTAAGGCTTAGATAAGATTATTGCTTAATGCAAACAAAACTACAGTCAGAAAAATGTTGCTCCACTTCCTGTGGGACACTACGTCTCTCCCCAGTAACAACATCCACTCGTGTCTCAGTGGTACACAGTGACTTTCCTCATGAGGTTTCAGCCAGATCCGCCAAAGATCACGATCAGTGATGTACATCACATCATTCAGAACTGCTGCTGTTGTGCAGTGGCAGTGCTCTCCAGCAGTGCGCCACTAGAATTATGTACAAAGTACACTCTCGTGACATTGTACACAAGCAAAAGCTTAAAACTCAACCGTAAAAACAAAAGTGCTGTGAAAACTTCTTGTTTTGGCATCAAGGCGTCATCACAGAAGCCAGTGCATCAAAACAGCCAGCAAAGCGGAACATTTGTGCAAAATCTTTGTTTTTAAAGTTTTTTAGTTTTACTGAATGAAACACATCACAGGAGTGTATTTTGTACATTATTCTAGTGCCAAGACCTTTAAGAGAAGTAGCAAAATCTGCCTTTCTAGCTTGCATGAATGTTGCTAGTGCGCAAAAATGATGCAGCACCGCCAGTAAAGCAGACCTTTTCTGTGGTGCTTTTGTTTTTGCAGTGGAGATTTCAGTGTTTGCGAAGGAAAAACAGTCACTGGAGTGTATTTTGTACATGACTGACAGTGAAGGAGCTGTTGGCTTTTTTAAATTACAGCTACACTCTTAAAAAAGAGTTCTTTATGGTTCTTTAGTAAAGTTTAGACAGTCATTCTATATAGAACCGTAAACACTCTATGACCCATATGCATGCTTAAATGGTTCTTTGCATGGTGAAATGGTTCTTTAGATTGATGGAGAATGTGTTGTATATGGTTCTTTATAGCACAAAAAAGGGTTCTGCTACTGTTTACAATGTCAAGCTTGTAACAACAGAACATCATTCTGGTGCTATATAGAACCCTTTTCAAAACGGTGCTTTGTAGAACCATATACAACACATTTTCCCTAAATCTAAAGAACCATTTCACCATTGAAGAACCATCTTATTTAAGCGTAAACATTATCAAAAACGTTTTACGTTTTAAGAGGGGACACTGAACCTAATAAGAGCTTGTAAAAAGCTTGTAGATGAGTTAGACCGATCAGAGGCAGCCAAGACACCGTGTGTTATGACATCACAACCACAACTTACTGGTAGTTTGGCACACAACGTTGAGGGGTCAAGCTTCAGGCCAGAAAAAGTTAGATATTGAGATCTTAGCCAAAATAAATCAAGCCTGAATCTCAGTTTATAATAAATCACAATTTAAATTGCAGCCGCAATATTAGTTGGAAAAATTAGTCAGTCACAATTAGATTTTTCCACAAATCGTTCAGCCGTAGCTGAGAACGTTGCTGCCTAATTATCAGGACTTTTGTGACAGATGTAAATGTGTACATCCCAGTAAAAGTGTTTAAGGGCTGCAGAGCCTGAACATTAATGCTATACTGTTAACTGAGTGTGAAAACACTACAATACTACCTATAATTAATGCTGACCTTACTGGATAGCAGGGATCTAACAGCCAAATCTCATTAATATATCTTTCCTTCACAATTGTCCCTGTAAGTCACCTCACATTTTGGAGCCCTTCTCTCATTTACTTATTGTTGCAGATAAAGACGTCTGCATGATACGATGTAAATCACTGATCGTGCTAGAATCTCATGTAGAGAGTCACTGTGTACCAGCTGAGACTCTGGTGGATGTTGTTACGCACACTGTTTAAACCAGACGTTAAACCACACCATCCTGTGTGATTAGGCCATTGCCACCATGGCAAAGGTGTAAGAAACATCAAGCTGGGTGTAGAAGTTACAGAGGAACCTTTGCAAAATTGAACGCAGCTTTTGTAGCTGCTGCCATCTACAGGTGTTAAGCAGGTACTTCATCCACCTTAACTGAACTGTGTGTTCATGCATTAGTATGGATGAGGCTTGTAATATCGTGAGCAATGAACCACTGTCCAGTCATGTCCCCTAGCTACCTTTCTCCATAACCTGTTTCAGCACTGACAGTATTAACAGAAAGAGAAAAGAGAGAAGAGAAAAGGTGTTTTCTTCATGGCCAAGACCTGTCATGTTGTTTATATGTTGTATTATTGTTTACCTTTCCTTAAACTGTTTATGATGCACTTGTTGGGTGTTTTTTCATACATTTTTGGCAAGTTTTAAACATTTTTTGGCTGGAAACTATAGAAGCAATCTGGTAACCCTGAGCACGCAAAGTGACACCACAGAGAAGCCTGCAAAATGTTGAGGCCAGGCAATTATTACAGCCAATATATGAACAACACATTAAAACAAACACAAATTACAAAATGAATATTAGATGTGGTGCATTTTAAAGGCATAGGTGGTGCATTTCTGACATTTGAAGTGTCCAAATTTGCCAATTTGGCCATGGCCATAGCAAAATAAGTAGTTATAAGCAAGTAGTTATAGCATCAGCACAGCTCTATCACACATAGTATAACACAGAAATACAAGCTCAAATGCAGACACCCAGGTGTGCATTACCTGTAGAAGTAGGAGCAGCCGCGGACTGTGTTGTGGCTGAAGTACTCCTGTGACTTCTCATTGCCAAAGTCCTCTAACGGATCTGACCATAACAGGTCACACATGGGCCCGAAAGCTGGAGGCTCCTTAAACCGGTCCAGCTGGAGAAGAGAAAGAGAGAAAGAGAGATCAGGCACTGATGTCTTATTACCGTCCATTAGAGGCAGGAATCTTCTTGGGGGGGGGGTCTTTTTAGGGGCGGGAATCTTCAGTAATCTCATTATTCCATTCAATGTCAGTTTGTTACGTATTTTATACATTATGATTTTCCTTCACAGGTCTTGTTTCACCATCTAACAAGGTTAGACCTGGGTACAGTTGCCTAAAGCCAGACTCAAATAAATTACTGTTAACTGCAAAGAAGTAATGAAGGTAGAAATACCTTTTCAAAAAACAACTTCCATAGAATTACAAAAGAAGCAGCTCAAAAATGACATACATACAGAACTGAAGCAGAACGTCTTAGTACATTCAGCCTCTATCAGGATAGAAATTGACGTTCATTTGGCTCTATTCTTCTTTCGGTCATGAGTAAATATAAGTATCTTTGACCAACTTCTGAACAGGGGTTCAAACTAGTTTAAGTTAAAATAAATAAACAAACTACACTACATTTGTATTTGATCATTTTGTTCTTTATGTCACATTGCATATAATGTAGCCTATCTCGGCACTCCTGAAATTTGGACCTTTAATCCAGTTTCTAGTCGTGGTTTTTGTTATCACTGGTCAACTGAACTGTTGATGAAAACTGAAAATTGGACTGAAAATTGGATTTGAAGAATTCTGGCCTATAGTGTTCATTTTTATCAGAAATGCTTAGTACAGCTGATATTTTTTCTGGAAAATAAAAAAGGGATCCAAAAGTCTCAGAACATGTTTTTTTTTAACATATATTATGGTTAGTGACCTACGATTTGTGCAGAATCATTAAGATTTTTTCTTCATTTTACTTATCATAACTTTTCTTTGTTTAATTTTTTTTCAAAATTCTAAAATATTCTGTTCTTTCTTTTCAGGTTTAAATGAAACAAACCCAGATTTTCCGTGTGGTTTTGGACCCCACTGTATGTGGATCACTCTACCAAACTGATTCAAAGTCAGAGTTGAAAACACATTTAGGACTTTTAAATGACTACTACGTCCAGAGTCCCATGACTGAGTAAGTGGTGGCCACATATTATTTTTATTAGGAAGCGATGCCACCAGCAGGCTTCGGTACTTATGAATGTTTTAAATGTTTAATGTTTTTAGTAACACTTTACTTGAACTCTGCTACATAACACTGACATAACCATGTCACAAACATGTCATATGTTGTAACGAGTTGTCATGGCACATTGTGCACATTAATATAACATATATTAATATTAATATTAATAACATATAATATAATATAATATAATATAATATAATATAATATACTATACTATAAGTGCAACGTTACATGCTGTAGTACCGGTAATTGTCGCAACGGATGACATACTGTTTGATGTCAAGACGGCTAACTACATATGAGCTGTTATGACATCAAGCATTATGGCTTCATGACAATAACTAGTAATGGTAACATGACACTCTTATATCAGTGAACTAAATCTATCATAACATGTTTATGTGGCATGGTAAGGCTCTGTTTTGTCAGTGTTATGCAGCAGGGTGCATGTAAAGTGTTTGCACTCCTTCTTTTGAGTGCACCACTCACTCCTAAATCTCTTAAAACAGCCTTGTGGTTAATGTGGGAATAAAGTATTTAACCAAATTGACTGCGCAGAATAACAGCTTTAATTCATTCATGTTTTAATGAGCAGTGTGTGTGTGCGCACCTTCTTGATGTCGTCTAACGTGTGTATCTCAGGCGAGAGGCCGCCGTGCACGCAGAGAAACTGCTGATTCATCAGAGCGGCCAGAGGCAGGCAGTCGAACGCATCCATACATGCATCATACACCTGCTCCGAGTATTTTATTTTACCTTACAGTGAGAGAGAGAGAGAGAGAGAGAGAGAGAGAGAGAGAGAGGGAGAGAGAGAGAGAGAGAGGGAGCAGGGAAGGGGAGGGGGTAGAGAGAAAAGAGAATAGGAGAAAAGAGTGAAGGAGGGAAAGAAAAAAATGAAGGAAAAGAGTTTTAATACATGCAAATGCTGTGAAATGTTCAGAGGCTTTATTATTTTCTTCTGAGTCTGATTAGTACACAGCGATCCTGCATGCATTTACACTTTCACAGAACACTGAGATACAGAGAGAGAGTGTGTGTGTTTGTGTGTGTGTGTGTGTGTGTGTGTGTGTGTGTGTGTGTGTGTATGAGAGACAATCTGTACTGTGTCAACTTTGCCATCCCAGATCTTCCCCATCTGTTCAGTCACACCACTGCATCACTCAGCAAAACAGCTCTACACCACCCAGCTCTCTATTCATCTTTGTTTCTCTGCTCTACATCTATATGTCTTGTTTTTGTTTCTCATGCATGCTCACTGGAGCATATAGACAAACAAAGAAACTGGTGCACTGGTCACTTGGACCACCAAACCAATGATTTCATCCATCTTTTAAGACTTAAGAATTTGTGGCCAGAATGACAGAACACCACCTATACGGCATGTATAGGGAGGTGGGCCCAAATGGTCCCCCTATGTTGCCTTTTTGGGCTGAGCCCAGCCGGGTTAGGTGGGCTGCCCGCCACCAGGCGCTCAGCGAGAAACACTACCCCCAGGCCTGGCTCCAGGGGTAGGTCCCCGTAATCCTCTCCCGGACATCGTCATGGAGGATTTCTGGACTGAGTTAGTCTGGGTCTCCAGACCTGATCACCTTGGGAGACCCTACCAGGAGCATATTGCTCCAGGCGACTCAGCTCTAAAGGTCCTTAGACCACACAAGCCCTTCTGCCACAGTAAGGCCCTGATCCAGGAAGGGGAACAGGGGACAGGGTGAGGAGTTCAATCATCCAGGAGGAGCCGCTAGTACTCCACATTGAGAGGAGCCAGTTGAGGTGGTTTGGGCATCTGATCAGGATGCCCCTGGACACCTCCCAGTGGGGGTTTACCAGGCACGGCCTACTGGGCCAAGACCCCGGGGTCATCCTAGGACCCACTGGAGGGATTATATCTCCAAATTGGCCTTGGAGTGGCTTGGGGCCCCCCAGAATGAGCTGGAGGAAATTGCAGGGGACGGGGTCATCGGCGATTTTCTGCTCTCCCAACTGCTACCGCAACCCTTCACAGAGTGTTATTATGTGAAATGAATAAGCTGCCTGATGTCTGAGACATTTTTACCATAGTTCTGAAACTATTTTTACAATAGCTCTGAGACAAAGTTTTGGACTAAAATGTATTTTTTAAAACACATACAGGGCAGAAACGTACATGCAGGGTGTTGTAAGGCAAATTCCCCTGATTTAGCACTATTTTACCCTTAAGGTACAAGCACACATAAAAACTCTGATGGCATGAGTAGATTCACTTCATAGTAAATAAAATGCCTACACTGCTTTGTATACATGGACCTCTGGTAACCCTGATTCTGAATTATGATTTTTTTTAACTGTTTAAATTCACATTTAACTTGTAATTTTAAGTTAATTCAAGATTTTTTCCAAGCAATTTTGGACCTTTTCTGTTGGTCTGTTTGTTGTGACTTTTTAACACAATGCAAAAGGGAACTGGAGTTTCCAAATTATGCAAAAAAGTAAAAATCGACAAAAATGGACATACAAGGTATTCGCATGATAGCTGCACAAAACATTTATTATGTACACTGGCAGAAAATAGTTTCTGTGCAGGTACATTTTTGTTCATCAAGGTACAAACAACATAAATGTACCCTCAAAGACACACAACAGTCTTAAGGTCCAACTATGTACTTAAGTATGTTTTTCCCAGGTGAAAAGCACATATTTGTAGCTTTTGATAACCTAACGTTTTAAAACACAACAATAAAATAAAAAGCCCAGAGTCAAGACAAGGTGTATAGAGTCAATGCAACTTAAAAATATAACAGTAATGGATTATGATATATTAATGTTTCATAACTAAAGGTACTAGAGACGTACCCTTGAGGGTACCACACCAGTGATGAGGGGTACCACCCCAGGTACAGTTTAGTACCTTTTTCCTGAGACTGTATGCTGTAAATATATATGCTACAGTCAGGTGCAGCTTTGAAAAAGGAAATCTTTACTCAAAAACTTTACACTGACCCTTAAATGCCGACACAAAACATGGCTATTTCTGCTGTTTAATCTGCTCTTCTCTGTTAATCCTGGGAGCTTCCACAGCTTTTGTGGCATTAATTTGATATACAAACAACAAATGTAGTTTCTCCCACAACTCTAAATTTCTGAATAAACACATGAATGGCAGTATAATTCACACATCGGTAAGGTTACTCTGATTAAACCAAACAATAATCAGCACTTACTGATCTGAACTGCCCTCTGAATGAGCTCACATACTCACTTGGAAAAAAATCACAGGACGTCCAATATTTTGTAGAGTAATATTAGCAAACTCAGAAGAACAGCATCTACGCTGCCAGGTGGGTCGGCTCAGCAGGACAGACCACCATGGTCACTACGCCGCCATGTCAGCTATTGTAGTGGTTACATTTAACAGATTTCGACCTGTCTGATTAATTCCATTAGATCTGACAATTCATTTACTCCCATTTGGGAAGAAATGCTTAAAGGCTCATGTTTACACACAGCTAAATTCAGCGTTTCCTCCAATTTGGGATCTTCAGTGCTGTTATCTCAAGTCCCTCTTCAGAGGTCAACTGCCCTTCAACTGGCTTCTAAATAAAACCCGTTTTGAGTCAGTGGGATTTCTGCCCATTTAGTAGCACAATGAAAATGCAGAAACCACTGACCAATGTAATTACTGGTGCAATACAATTCGACAGGAGTTATCTTCAAATAAGTGGACTGTTTCTTTAAGAAAGTGCAGCAGACTCTACTGCCCCTGTCACAGGGTGGAGGCCTCTTAAACTAAGGGCAGCCCTCTGTAGGCGAAGATTGTGTCCTACAAAGTGTGTGTGTGTGTGTGTTCTGACACTCGGCAGATGGAAAAGGAGGGCGCCCACTCCTTACTGTCTCCATCAGGGAAATCACACCCGTTGACTCCCTGGGCCAATCATTACGAGCAAATTAATTTGCTGCTAATCATTCTCTCTCTCTCTCTCTCTCTCTCTCTCTTGACAGAGACTGATCTAGAAAGCATTTCTGCAAGACAACACAAAGTTCTGGAGGAAGACCTGGAGTGGAGTATAGTAAAAGGTAAGAAAGAGTCAGAGGCAAAAAAATTACTAGAAAAATGTAGACAGGGCTCTGTGCATTTCTGCATAGCTAAATAATTAAGATGTAAATAAAGTCATTCAGTGTGGTTTGGTGTGAAATGCTCTGTCCTAGAGAAACTTGCATGTGTCAGAATTGCTCACAGTGGTGTTGATAGGAACCGGACGTCTGAAAAACTCAATGACTCTAAAAGCTCCATCACAGAACATTATTAAATGAAATGGGTCTATTATGGTTCTAGTTTTATGACACATAGTTTTATGATAGTTTACAAATAAAGATTTGGCCTAATTTTTTTCAACACATTCACTTTAGAGAGGTACATGCAGGCCTTTTTAAGGCAAAATAGTACCGTATAAGACCTCAGGTTCACTAGTGGATTTGGATACAGTGAACCATTTCACACCAAACCACTCTGAATGATTTTGTTTACATTTATATTTACATGAACAACATTTGGCAGACGCTGTTTTCCAAAGTGACTTACAAAAGTGCTTTGTTGTCTAATCAGTAAAGTATCCTAGCTACTACAAATAGGTGACAAACTACCACTGAGCTCAGATACTGCTAGAAACAAAAACCTGTGTTGATACCCAGAAAAGGGATGCAGAATTAGACACAGCATAAGTGCAATACAATACATTTCAATAAGCACTTAGATTAGTGCTCACTCAAGAGCTGTAAAAAGGGATGGGTCTTCAGTCTGTGTCTGAAGACTGTGAGAGATGTTATCTCAGTGATTAAACTGTGCAGAAATTTCCCTTTAAGAGGTAAACACGTTGGATGCTGGAAGTGATCCACTCCCCGTCCAGAAGTAATTTCTTTTTTAGCTAATGCTACAAGTGTTTATTCAACCTGATGAGAACCCACAGCAGACACATCAGTTTTAGTTAAACTTACATAAATTATTTACACTTTTTGTTCAGAGCTGCCACAAAATATTCAGTTTTCAGATTATACTGCCGACCTGGACAGCATTCTGGCTAACTGAAACTACACAGGTTGAAAAATTGCACAGAATTTGCCACCATGCTAACGTTCGGTTGCTCGGTTACACTACAAAAAACTGCACCTGATCTGTCCCAACATCTCTCAGATGCATAGAAAATAAATCTAACGTTATATATACAGTGCACTCTAAATTCAGCTATTTTGACTAAAGCTGAGCTGTCCTACAGTTTCTCATTAGGCTGAATGGAATTACAGACAACATTCAACCCAGCAAAAGTTGCTAGAGAAAAAATGCATTTGTGGGCAAAACCAAGACAAGTTAAGTGAAAGGAAAATGGATGGAAATATTGCCAGACAGACAGTGTAGTCGATGGATGCAGAGGGAAACAAAAAGGATGCATAGACAGAGAGAGGAGAGAGAGAGAGAGAGAGAGAGAGAGAGGGATGGGTGCTATAATTTAGAGCATAAATGGGAGAGACTCACATGGAGAGGTCAGTCAAGTGCAAAAAAGTCACAACAAAACCACCGGGTGATGTCATACTTACATTCTTGTTTGAAAGTGAAATATTCGGTCAAATGTCTACATTCATGGTTTCCCCGCAGTAGAAATAACGTCTTTGGGTAGAGGATTTTCAGTGACCAGAGATACAAAACACACTGAGAGAGAGAGAGAGAGAGAGAGAGAGAGAGAGAGAGATGTTTAACAACTTTTTGTTGACATTCAAAGGGCTGTCGGCAAGGGGTCGGCAACTTGCGGCTCTTTTACCGCCCTGTTGCGGCTCCACAGCAGAATTAGATTTGTAGGTAAACGTAGAACGATCAGCAGAGCTTTATTTTCCTGCAACACAGTTTTAACAATAAACGGCCTTAAACGCTGGAGTTAATGTAGCTATAACTGCTAATTCACCTTTTAACCCTGAACGCAGACTGCTGGTCATCAGAGCAACACAGACAACAGTCTTGCCTAGTTAGCAGCGAACGAAAATGCAAAGAGAGAGATTTACGACAAACATCCATAATTTGGAGACAAATGGACTTACTTGCATTTATAAACACTCCAGTTGGTTTCCTGATACATTTAATCTGCAACAAGAAACTGTCAAACTCTGAAGTGAGTTTCTCATTCGCCAGCTTCTTGTTTGAATTTTCCTGTTTCACCTTAAATGGTGCCTAAGCGCCAGACTGTAACTGCTGCACCATTTAAAGTGGAAAAGGAAAATTCGAATGAGAAGCTGGCGAATGAGAAACTGACTTCAGCCTTGTAAAAAATCGAACATTGAGACATTTTACAGGAACTCTTCTACTTTTGCAGAAAAGCGGCTATAGCTGAGCTAAAGCTTAAAGCAGAGTAAGTCTGTGTTTTTGTTTAAACTATATTTTTTAGCCCATACTAGTACATTAGCATGTACTGAGACACATTTACAGCCAAGATGGTAAAACGGATATAAAATATTGCGGTTCCCAAGATTGATTTTTGTTGAAAGGACAAAATGGCTCTTCTTAACATTTGGGCTGCTGACCCCTGTACTAGACTCTAGATACATGCTGTGTGTGCACTTTTAATTCCTGACTATACAAAAAAATATATTTGCTGAAAATACATTCCGATATATTCTATTTACATTTTGGAACATACAATAATGTAATTGTTTTTCATAGAGGTAAACAGTGGGAGTTGGAGGGAAAACCCTCACACACTTACCTCAATACTGAAGTAGCCTCGGTCCACATAGTCCCCTAGAAAGAGATACCGCGTTGTTGCTGGAGACCCTCCAACTTCAAACAACTTCATCAAGTCGAAGAACTGCCCGTGGACATCGCCACAAACTGGAGCAGACCCAGATATAAATAAGTTAGGAAAATTCCAAAATCCCGACATATAAATAAATATATATTTATAAAATATACTGAAATGCCCTTCATGTCCCACCTAAAACAACTAAAAAACAACTAAAACAATCACTAAAATCACACTGACATAAAACAGTGCAGTACTCTGAACGGCCCAGAGCAGCCAGGTCTTCACTACACTTAAACAATAGTGCAATAGTGTATACAGCACCCACATGCAAATGCGAGGATGAGGTAAAATATTTAAAAAATAACCTTTTCCTTTGAAAATGTGCTACTTGGGCAATATGTTTGATATGTAGCACAAATTGAATGTATTGATTAGACCCTCTGGGTCAACAGTATACCAGCTACTCAATACTGTGATGGAATTAGATATTCTTCTCTAAGCATATAAAAATTAAATTCACACAACCCAGCAAACCTTCTTTACTGTATAACTCCTCTGTACTGTAGTGTTAGTACTGGGAAAATGCTCATTTTTACAAATGTTCATTTCATACTGTAAATAATAGTTTATTTTATGTCTCTTCAGACATAAACAATTTGCGTATATTCTCTTTTAGCTACTTTAAAATGATATAATTCTGACATCATCCTACATTCACAGTTTAGACACAGTAGGTTAATCTGAATTTTAAGGTCCTGAAAGAAACAGAGATTTTTATATGAGTTTGGGGTGCTTTTATTGATATATGTAGTTGTACCCCAGTCACACTGTTCTAGAACGTTTTTTGAATGCCTTTCCATTCACACGTTCTAGAATGGCCTCCGAATGCCTCTTCTATTCAGCTGGTTCTACAATGCTTTCCTCCATTCACACAGTTCTGGAATGCTTTCCTCCATTCACACAGTTCTAGAATGTCTGCCATTCACACTAGTCCAGAATGCTTTCCTCCACCCACACCACTCTAGAATGATCTCCTCCACCTACACCACTCTAGAATGATCTCCTCCACCTACACCACTCTAGAATGATCTCCTCCACCTACACCACACTAGAATGATCTCCTTCACTCAGACTACTATAGAATGATCTCACCCAGTTACACTATTCTAGAATGATATAATTCTGACATCATCCTACATTCACAGTTTAGACACAGTAGGCTAATCTGAATTTTAAGGTCCTGAAAGAAACAGAGATTTGGGGTGCTTTTATTGACATATGTTATTGTACCCCTGGACAGAGGATAATACATGGAACTCACAGATGTAGTAGGAGGTTACCAAACATACCTTACAGCAATGTGCAGGTGTGCGACTAGGAAAAGATCAGCTTCCACTGGAAAATGTCTACGGCTCTATTTTGAAGCTAAAAACTGTAGACACCACTGACTGGTGTTTATCCACTATAATGTTCTCCCCCAGCAAATGACGGCTGTCAGAATCTGGTAATCAGCTGTGATGTGCCTGTGTGTGCATGCTGAATGGGACTCTACTGTAGTAACACACTTGATTGATCTTTAAAATATTCCCAAAAGCTCCTCTGGGGAACAAAAACATATCCACAGCCCCCAGCTCCTCCGCTCTCCGCGGTGCCACATCAAAACCACCGGAGCTGACTGTCTCACTGTTTTATAAACAATCATTTCATTCAGATAACAATAGAGATAACCTGAGAGCGCTGGATCATACTGTCACTGTCACATCAAAACATAACTCATGCACCAGTTTTTTCCCCAATTGAAACTGTCACACCATATAAAATGGTACAAAGTTATATGGTACACAATCTCTTTACATTAACATACATTAAAATCATTAACGGTTTGCATTCATCTGTTCAATATGTACAAATGTTCAGTGATAGTAGGTTCTGTTATGAGAGCAATGATAAAATGTAGCTCACTAACTGGATCTGTTTTGAGTTGGTTTGCAGTTAATTCACAAGTTATGGGGGTCAGCAGACAAACAGTAACAAGGTCCAGAACAGACTGCCTATGATGTTTAATGACTTCTACAGTTGGTCCACAACATCATCCATCTGCAGAGCTGGAGACCTGGAGTTGTCCTGCTGCAGTTACAGGTTCAGGTTTGTGTCCCCTGGTGGTGAGGATTAGGGTTATGGTTACATGGGCTATTTGTTAAAATTACTGGCTAGCTAACTAAGCCAAAGTAGCTCACCTAATTATTACCTATTATTAACTTGGCTTATGTGCACTGTGAAAAAAACAAAACAAAAACAAAACAAAAAAAAACTTCGTTTGACTTGATAAAACTCATAATATGTTAAGTGAAGGTCGACTAGACATCTGAAAAGTATAACAGCTACAGTGACCAAATCTTTTAGAGCCTTCAGTCTGAGCCAAATATGTTGAAATTCAGTCAAAAATGAGTAAGGATTCTGGTAATATGTTGCCACTAAGTTAACAGCGGGGCACACAAGCATTTCTGGCCATTCTAGATTAAACACAAACATCTGAATCTTGTAGAAATCATTCCATGTTTCTTCTGAAGCTGGTAACAGACATATTAACACATAGTTTACCTTCTAGCATTTTACAGTGACTCTTTTTAGTAAACTGCCGCCACTGTTTTCTATTCCTAACATCTGACTGAAACCTGGTTAGACTGCTGCTCGTATTCACAGTCAGTGACATATCTAGGACTTCCAGAAGGCCTAGAGACATTTTATCACATGAAATTGGATCCACCCATTGGAAATCAAAACAGTGGTTCCTCTGTCGTGTCCTAACTATTTTAGCGGTTAATCTGTCCAGCCCTTAAAGTCCTAACCAATGGGAGAGCTCACTTGGCTATACCTATCTAGTTACCGCAGAGAAAAAATCCTGATTGGACAATCTTAGTGTTTTAAGATCTTAATGATTAAAGTCTTACTTTCTCTAAACGTTTAGAAGGACCTCAGGGTTCCCCACTTCCTATGTGTTATGCTAGCACTACACTAGCTACCTAAAGGCATGAATACAGGTTTGTCTCTAGAATGTCCTGCTCCCTTCACACTGTTCTAGAATGCCGTCCATGCACACTGTTCTTGAATGCTGTACTCTATTCACACTGTTCTAGAATGTAGAATGTCTTCCTCACACAATGTTCTTGAATGCTGTACTCCATTCATACTGGGCTAGGACATCCTGCTCAATCTATACTATTATTGAATAATCTCTGCCATTCACATTGTTTAAGAAAGTTCTCCAGTCACACTGTTCTAGAATGTTTTTGAATGCTTCTCCATTCACACAGTTCTAGAATGGCCTCCAAATGCCTCCTCTATTCATGCAGTTATAGAATGCTTTCCTCCATTCACACAGTTCTAGAATGCCTGCCATTCACACTATTACACAATGCTTTCATCCACCCTCACCACTCTAAAATGATCTCCTCCACTCACAATACTCTAGAATGATCTCCTCCACTCACACTACTTAGAATGATGTCCTCGATTCATACTACTTTAGAATTATTACAGTCTCCTCCAGTTACACTACTCTAGAATGATCTCCTCCATTCAAACTACTCTCGAATGATCTCCTCCACTCACAATACTCAAGAACGATCTCCTCCACTCACACTACTCTAAAAGGATCTCCTCCACTTACACCACTGTAGAATGATCTTCTCCGCTCACAATACTCTAGAATGATGTCCTTGATTCATACTACTTTAGAATTATCTCCTTCACTCATATCTCTCTGGAATGATCTCATCCACTCAGACTGCTCTAGAATGATGTCCCTACTCACACTATTCTATAATGATCTCCTTACTCAGACTGCTCTAGAATGATGTCCCTACTAACACTATTCTATAATGATCTCCTTCACTCAGACTACTCTAGAATGATGTCCCTACTCACACTATTCTATAATGATCTCCTTCACTCAGACTGCTCTAGAATGATCTCCTCCTCTCACATTATTTTAGCATGATCTCCTCCATTTACACCATTCTAGAGTGATCTCCTCCTCTCACACTATTTTAGACTGATCTCTTCCATTCACATTGTTCTAGACCAGTCTCCTTCGTTTACACTCTTCTAGAACAGTGGTTCCCAACCTGGTCCTCAGGGACCCCCAGACAGTTCACATTTTTGCTCCAATCCAACTTGTAGCACAAAGGGATGAAGAAAAATTGTGGACCATCTGAGGGTCCCTGAGGACCAGGTTGAGAACCACTGTTCTAGAATGTTCTCCAACATTCACAACATACTAGAATGTCCTCCTCCATTCACACTGGCTCATTTGGCTTGTGAGTTGTCTGGAACTGTATTAACCCAACAGAAACACTGGAATGCTGCTGGGTTTGTTGTGCCAGTGTGCCATAGCCTTAAGTGATACGCTCTCACAACAAGTGTTATGCCTCCGCAATACATTAGAGGTAGAGGCTAAAGTCACATTATGTCCTCAAACTGCAGGTGTAGAACTGCTGCTGCCTCTCTGGGTCTGCAGATGGATGAACCCTGTGACTGGATTCAATCTCAATAATCATACAAAGCCCTCTTTCATAAATGATCCTATTTCAACCACACCGGTGTTCTAGGTGAGAACGGATTCCTGTCATAATGCATTTACGGAATGTTCACATCATATCAAATGTCTTAGTATATGACTCACAACATCTCACCAACGTCTCTGGACATCCATTACCTTCTCAGCCTCAACAAAAGGTCAGAAAATCAATAAAAGTCCTTTAAACGATATACTCTCATTCTTCTCTGTTGTTAGAATAGTGCAATTCCCCTGATTTTGTTCCATTTTCATAACCTGATGTTTTGCTGAGGGCATTTTCATATTCCTATTGGACAGTATTGTAGGTTTCTGTCTTTGTCTTCTGCTGCGTGTATAACCTCCCTCAGTCATTCTGTTGACTGACATGTTCAATAAATATTTCCACTTTCTCTACCTCCCTCTCTCACTCCATCTCACTGTTTCCATTTTAGAGGACAAGAATATATGTTAGAAGAAATGAGAAACTCTTCAGCTGCTACCAAAAATAAACAAGCATCTTCATATCTCTCCATCATCCTGCACTCTCCTCCTGTCTCCTGTTTCCTATTTTTTCTCTCTGTTTCCTCTTCCGTTTTTTTATGCCTTGTTTCATTCACTCCTGTTCCACATCTGTCATCTTCCACCTGGTTTCCTTCCTGTTACTCTACACCTCCATTTCTCTTTTCCCTCTCTTGCTTTGATTGACAACTGGATGAAACTGTTTCTGTTGTCACACACACTGACCAGCCACCTTAATAAAACCACCAACTTATTTCCCCACTTACTTAAAGTTCTACAGTTACAGACTGTAGTTCATCTGTTTCTCTGCATACTTTGTTAGCCCCCTTTTATCTTGTTCTTCAGTGGTCAGGACCCCCATGGACCCTCACAGAGCAGATACTATTTTGGTGGTCGATCACTCTCAGCACTGCAATGACACTGACGTGGTGGTGGTGTGTTAGTGTGTGTTGTGCTGGTACGAGTGGATCAGACACAGCAGTGCTGCTGGAGTGTTTAAACACTGTGTGCACTCACTCTTCACTCTATTAGACACTCCTACCTTGTCAGTCCTCCTTGTAGATGTAAAGTCAGAGACGATAGCTCATCTGCTGCTGCGCAGTTTGTGTTGGTCATCCTCTAGTCCTTCATCAGTGGTCTCAAAACTCTGGCTAATTGTGATGTGGACTATTCTCAGTCCAGCAGTGACACTGAGGAGTTTAAAAACGCCAGCAGCACTGCTGTGTCTGATCCACTCATACCAGTGCAACACACACTAACACACCACCACCACATCACAAGTCACTGCAATGCTGAGAATGATCCACCACCCAAACAATACCTGCTCTGTGGTGGTCCTGACCACTGAAGAACAGGGTGAAAGGGGGCTAACGAAAGTATGCAGAGAAACAGATGGACTACAGTCTGTAATTGTAGAACTACATTAAGGGAAAACTAGAATAAACTTGATTCTTTGCTGAACTATCACTTTATTAAAAACTCAACTGCTCCCAGTCTTACATGGTAACAGGCTTTCTTTCAACATCACATGCACATCAGCAAAGAAAACCATGAAAAGTCAACAGTCATCTGCAAAGCTTCAAAAAGCTAAAGATAAACAGGCCGAGGATAAAAAAAGAAGTCTACTGTGATGCTTCCAATCTAAGACTGTTCCCAGAAAAATAATGATGAAACTGAACTGAGCACTACACCTATTCATCTCTCTGACCTGTAACTGGGGCCTCGATGTCCAGCATGGTTTTCTCCTGCCGGAGGATGGCAGCCCCTTCATTTATGATGCGCAGAGCGACGGGCTCCTCCACACGGCCCTCTTTTGTGAGGTGAGCCTTCAGCAGGTCCACACGCGGCTTCCCCTCGCAGTCGAACACCTCCCGCATACTTAACCTGTGGCTCAGCGGGAAGGGGACCGCTACAGAGAGAGAGAGAGAGAGAGAGAGAGAGAGAGAGAGAGAGAGAGAGAGAGAGCTACTGTAAAATAATATTTGGCATTTTAACATATACAGCATTAGAATATGATGGTAAAATTACAGTAAATATCTGCCTACTAATTTACTGCACCATATTATAGAGGAACTAGAATGATGTTCCAAATATACCCATTTTATCTATTATCCAAAATGACCTGTGAGCCTACACCACTATGAACTATTTAGACTCTGTAAGTTTTATTTTGTTCATATCTTAACGCTTGCGTGGTATTCAGGTCTGTGGGACCCATTTTCAATGTTTATCAAAAGAAAAAATGATGCGATTTATTATTATTTCAACCTCAAATTCCTTGGTCTTTGCCCGTTTTCTGTGAAGAACTTATAAAATAACCCATTTTCAGCGTCTTCACTCTGTTCACCCCCCACACATTTATATTACACATGTGGTGTTGGGGTGAACCCACAGGCAGTAAAAGTGTGGAGGTGCTGTGGGAGAGTGCCTTCACTCTGTTCTCCTCCTACATGGCCTGCTGTTAGTGTGTGTGTGTCTGTGTGTGTGTGTGTGTGTGTGTTTGTATATATGTGTGTGTGTGTGAGGGTGGACAACATGGTCAGGCTGCTGAGTGGCTACAGCTGCTAAAGGAGAACCCTACGCTACACAAACTGTTATGGCTGTATTGATTTAAACCAGACCCACTGAGTAACAAAAGCATCAACACCGCACAAAGTTTGAAGCTTAAATGATGCAGAAAATTAGAAAAATTGGTAGAATTCCCCTTTAACAGTAAACAACAGTAAAACAACAACTATAAACTGCAACTTCACATTTAAATGGTCCACTAAATATCCATTATGTTGATAATACGCTGCTGTAGACTTTCAGTAATCTACTATATTTTTCTGTGTCATCTGTAACTGTAATGTGCCCAGTTTGCTGGTAATTTACTGTAAATCTAAATATGAAGTAACAAACTACAAAGCCTTACAAATGACAGTTCAACTATCTTAATCATGAGATAGTTGTTACGAGTAAGACAGTCTTAGTAAATATATCTGAATTCTGAATTATTGCTTCTGCAACACTCTCATTTGTGCAGTTGCTGTGAAATCCCACAACATGGTCCAGTTCAATTACACCTTTGCAATTACAGAAAACTGTCTATCCTTCATTGGTCTCACTATAAAATTCCATATACTGCATTTTGATGTGAATAATTACTGCTAAATTTTGTGAAATCCTGTCAATATTAAACAATCTTAATTGAATTAAATGTAAATAGAAACTCTAATAGCCCAGGCCTTCTAGTAAAAAACTCTACATCCAATACCAATTATGTTTAATTATGCATTTGAAACAGCTTCATGGTCAAGAGCAGAGGAGGAGGAGAGAGAAAGAGGGAACGAGCAAGACATGAAAGTGTGAAAAAGCATTTTTACTGTTTGTAGTAAGTTGGGCACTGGTGACAATAAACACCCAAGAGACCACTGGCTGAGAAAGAGACGCTTTAAACTACTATGCGGTACATCAAAGCAGGTCATTTAAGACAATGCAATAGCTTATCTGCCTGGATGCTGCCAAACCAGATTTATGAGGACCAGATACAAACCAAAGCTCTCATATACAGCACTGTGCAGAAATCTGAGACCACCTTTTATTGATCAGCGTAAGAAAAAAGGTGTTTAGTATGGTGGCACAGTGGGTAGGACCACCACAGAGCAGGTATTATTTGGGTGGTGGATCATTCTCAGCTCTGCAGTGACACTGACGAGGTGGTGCTGTGTCTGATCCACTCAGACCAGCACAACGCTCACTAAACATGCCACCACCAAATCAATGTCACTGCAGTGCTGAGAATGATCCACCTCCCAAATAGTACCTGCTTTGTGAGGGTCCATGGGGGTCCTGACCACTGAAGAACAGGGTAAAAGGGGGCTAACAAAGTATGCAGAGAAACAGATGGACTACAGTCTGTAACTGTAGAACTACAAAGTGCACCTATGTAGTAAGTGGAGCTGATAAAATGGACAATGAGTGTAGAAACAAGGAGGCAGATTTATTGTCAGGGCTAAATGGTACATTATATAATGTATATGTAAATGTAGTTTAGTGTGGACCACAAGCTAAACGTCTGGATGCTGCAACACCATTGACTGCATTTCGTAACACATCAGAGATTGGGGGGAAGCTGTAGAAGAAAGGAGGGAGAAAGAGTGAGAGGGAGAGGGAGTCTGTGTGAAAGAGAGAGAGAGACGCAAGAGAAAAAGTGAAGGAAGAGAGAGAAAAAGAGGAGGAGGTGAGAAGGAAAGGAAACTGTGGCAGGTGTTACCGGGGCAACAGCAGCCAACGGCTGGCATACTGCCAGAGAGACGCATCATTGATTATAACACACCACAGACACACACACACACACACACACACATAGTTGTTCATGTACATTCATGAGGCCACAGTACACAAAAAACAAACAAAAAAAAACAGTCATATGCAGAAGTTTGGGCACCCTGATCAAATGACGTGAAAATAAGTTACACATCCTCTACAGAGAACACACTTCTGCACATTTTAATGCACAGTTACTGTTTATTTGCTGAATTTAACACAGTGCATAAAAATATATAATATAAAATATGGCCTGTACAAAAGTTATGTCACATTTTATATTTACGTTTTATTTTTTTACAATATGTTCACCTGATAAATAGGAATTGTGCGCTAAAATGTTCAGAAACATTCCGTTTGCCAAGATAATTTCCCTGTAGAGGATGTGTTTATTATGTGCTTATTTTCGCTTAGAAAGTCAACACAACGGGGTATTTTACATACAACTGTACTTCCATTTATTTCTACATCATTAGAGCACAGCAGCTACGCTGCACGTGTGAACATTTCACAAAGAATGGAAGAAGAGAAATGCTGCAGAATGACTTGGAATAAGATCTCTAACATTACAAGTTAAGAATTTAATAAATTAATAATTACATGTTATGGCTACGTTTACAGTACCCGGTTGAAGTGGCACAAATCTGATTTTTTTGCCCTGATGTGACTCAGATCTCATGTTTTCAGGGCCATGCGGACACGCAAATCTGATCTTTTCAAATCCGACCTAAGCCACTTTCATATGTGGTCCTACATCGGATACGTATCCAATCCACTCAGTGGTCTGGTTGACCCAATGCATTATTGTTTTTTTAATCAATACAGTCATAACAGACTGTAATACCAGATGAATACCAGATGTTTAAAATATCACAAGTGGTCAGTGTAGGGTTCTCCTTTAGCAGCTGTAGCCAGTCAGCAGCCTGTCCCTGTTGTCCACCCTCACACACACACACACACACACAAACACATACACACACAGACACACACTAACAGCAGTACGAGGAGAACAGAGTGAAGGACACAGCACCTCCACACTTTTTATTCCCCACAGGTTCACCCAACACCACATGTGTAATATAAATGTGTGGGGGGTGAACAGAGTGAAGACACTGAAAATGGGTTATTTTATATGTTCTTCACAGAAAACGAGCAAAAAACACAGAATCTGGGGTTGAAATAACAATAAATCACATCATTTTTCTTTTGGTAAACATTGAAAATGGGTCCCACAGACCTCAATACCACACAAGGGTTAAACTCTTCAGACACCTGGTTCCTATCACACCTATCAGAACAATTCTGATGCATGTCTAACCCCTCTGAATGACTCTGTTTACATCTTAACCATTTAATTCTAAAGGAATTTTAAAAAAATCAGTGGAATTCTCTCTTTAGAGAAACACTTCACTAGAATTAGGTCTGAAATGTTCAAATTAAAGCAGAGCAAAGGGTCCGACGCCCTGTGATCTGGCTGTCACTCTGTGTGAGAGTCTTTATTTAGCAGTATGGGTGCATTATTGAAGTGCAGAATACAGCAGAGGGCTCTTACATAACACCGTCTCCTCGGGCGCTTGCACTGAGACAGTTACACACACACACACACACACACACACACAGGCACACACTGTCAACTATACCACAGCTGCACGTGCACACATACACGCACCCACACACACAGCTACTCTACTGTACCCACACCGCATGTGGACACAAACATACAGTACATACACAATGTATAGAACATGTATTGCTATATGTTCATACACTGTTCACTGTTTTTCTCATAACACATATTTTTCCATTTTTCACAGTTTTTTGTAAAGGTTTTGGTCTTGGCTTTTAAAGTAAGGACGCTAAAAGAGCTCCCCAAAGGCGTCCAGCAGGCATAGAACAATACAGCAAAACTGTCCGAAAAAAACCTTGTATCTCCAAAATGGTAGGTTTACAGGAGAAGGTAAAAACATTTGTTACTGTTAATGTACGTCAATGGAACTAGAATTTTTCCCAAGTCACTTTGGGCCCTTTCTTTTGGTCCATTCTTCATGAAATTTACACACAATGTAAAGAACAGTGTGAAAAACTGAAAAAGAACAAAAATGGAGATACAAGTTTTTTTTTCCGACAGCAGCGATTAGCATTAGAATACTGAAACAGGACATCCAAAATAAAGAGCATGGCTTTACAGACTGAACATAAATTTGCGATTACTCAGAGTGTGAGAAAAGGAACTGGGGCTGAACTTCTAGGACTGAACTTCGTAGATGTGTCAGATTTGTTTGTGAAACAAAAAGTAAATCTCTGTAGTAAAAAGCTGTAATAAATCAAAAAGTGGACACTATAAACACTTAAAAAAAGGATATATTCAGTTGTTGAGGCTTCTGTTTAATTTTTTCCATAAATATATGTTTCCTGTGTTTTTTACTTAATGCTGAAAAATGAAAAACTTGTACTTAATAAACATTTTGACTGGGTATGAAATACAGTAGGTTCCAAAGGTCTGAGACGGCTGCTGAAAAAGCTTCTATTTCGCATTTTTTTCTAGTTTAATACAATATTTTTCATTACAAATTGTACTGTTAGTGTATTGTAACTGAGTGA